TTGAAGCAAATGTCTATATAGTTTTTATTATTTTTGTTTAAGTTTTAGTACTTAATCTTAAAAAACTAAGATTTATCTTAATTTATTCTATTTCAGTCGACCTTTATTATATTATTATTTAAAAAAGTATAATTTTTTTAATGGTTTTAGTTAACGATAATAACCCTGGTTCAGTATATGCTAAGCATTTACGATGTGTTGTTTTACATCAGGCCCTGACGGCTGAGATCGTCAAGACCATACGTGACATCATCGCTCTGAATCCACTGTACAGGTAAGAGAGGTGAAAGACGCCGTTTAACTCATCTTTCCCTCGGGAAATCATTTTGACCCGGAAATCATTTTTAAATGCACTTGAACCACGAATACACACTTTTTTTTTTATGGATTCGAGGAGTTTTGTGTTTGAAATTTAAAAAAGTAACAAATCCTTCCCTTTTGAGTCAATTTGACCCCCTTAGGAATGAATGGAATGCGAGGAATGCTTCAGTACACATAGAAAAACCTAAAAATGCTCAAAATTCAAACTAAAAATACTAAAACTTTGCCAAAAAAATTATTTTATAATGTCTACATGTGTATCTGAACGCATACTGAGGAGAACTGACTTTAGGACCCAGCGGAACAGCTCATCTGCTCCATATATAGAGCTATAAGCCCATCTAGAGTCATGAAATATCATGTTATATTATTAGTTTTCCACAAGAGGTCGGCAAACACTCCCAATATAAGATATTTTGAGCTGAATTAAAAGGTTTATACATGAAATTGTGAGTTATTTTGAATTTAAGTTGAAAGAATGTGAGGAATGTGCTTAAATCACTATTTATTTATTGATCAAGTCTAGAAATTTAAAGGTAAATAAAATAAAAAATAACAAAAACATCTTCAAAAAGATTGCATTTAGAAAAAATATTATCAAAATAAAAAGAAATGTTGCTTTTTTGGACAAAAAAAAAAGTATAATTTTAGGGCTTCGGGGTCATTTTGACCCGGCGAGGGAAAGATGTGTTACGAAACGCGAGTGAAGGATGAAGGTTAAAACCACATGCTGTGGGATATCAGTGTGTTTATCTGTGTGTGTGTGTGTTTGCTAGAGAGTCTGTTCTCCAGATGATGCAGGCTGGGCAGAGAGTAGTGGATAACCCGATCTACCTGAGCGACATGGGGGCGGCACTGACCGGGGCCGATTCGCACGAGCTACAGGACGTCCTGGAGGAAACAAACGTACGTTTACCACCCACAAAACCCAGTCTCAGAACGTCAATGTGTGTCTAACAGAAGAACTGTCGTTACAGATTCCCAAACGACTCTACAAAGCACTCTCTCTGCTGAAGAAGGAGTACGAACTGAGTAAACTACAGCAGCGTCTCGGGAGAGAGGTGAGGACGCGTTCGTGAGTACGGTTCGGAATCGGAAATATCGAAATACTCGAGGTCAGGAATCGGATACTTGTTATAAAATTTAAATTTCGATTCCTCTTATCGATTCCTTTGTGAGCATTTCAATATGACTTTAAACCATTCAAGCGCAAGTGTAACTCTAATGGCCAGCTCTTAAAGTGACAGCACTAATATTCCTGCTCCCGTCTCTATAATAACTCTAATCAAAACACAGAAGACAAAGAGAAAATTCACTCGTTCATGACTGAATAACTATATCTAATGTATATTTAATTTATAAAGTCCAGTGTTATTGTACATTTGATTACAGTTTCTGAACCTGAAAATCTTAAAACACTGTTTATTTCAATTGTATCTTTGTTCAGTTGGGTTATTCAGTTTTTTTATTTGTTCTTGTTTAATGACTGAGTGTTTGCTTGTCTTTAATAATGCTGGAAGTTTATATTAGTTCGGCTAGGTGTTCTTCTATGGTGTTTTTAAATCTCAGGCAAACGCTCCTTGTGTAAGTGTTCTTTAGCTGATGATTTCTGTTCATGATATTCAACTACAATGAAATGTTTAGCAATAAGAGTAAATGTGAATTATATGTGACCCTGGATCACAAAACCAGTCGCACGGGTATATTTGTGGTAATAGCCAACAATACATTGTGTGGGTCAAAATTTTTGATTTTTCTTTTATGGCAAAAATCATTAAGTACCGGTATTAATATTAAGTAAAGATATTTAGTAAATTTCCTACCGTAAATATATTAAACATTTATATTTGTGAGTGGATGCAGCACAATCGCCAACATAAATGCACAACTTTAAAGGCGATTTTCTCAATGTTTAGATTTTTTTGCACCCTCAGATTCCAGATTTTTAAATAGTTGCATCTCGGTCAAATATTGTCCTATCATAACAAACCATACATCAATGGAAAGCTTATGTATTCAGCTTTCGGATTATGTATAAATCTCAATTTAAAAAAATTGACCCATGTGACTGGTTTTGTGGTCCAGGCTCACATTTCTGTTTTTAGTTTTTACCTTATTGGAATCGATAAAATTGAAACGATACCCGACCCAATTTGTGACACGCTGTTGCTTATTCATCGGGGTTCCCCGTGGCTTTACGCTGTTGGTTCTGGTGCTCAGGTGGAGGAGAAGATCAAGCAGACGCACAGGAAGTACCTCCTCCAGGAGCAGCTGAAGATCATTAAGAAGGAGCTCGGCCTGGAGAAAGAGGACAAAGACGCCATTGAGGAGAAGTTCAGGGAGAGGTTGAAGGACCGTACCGTACCTCAGCACATCATGGAGGTTATCAACGAGGAGCTGAACAAACTGGGGCTGTTAGATAACCACTCCTCAGAGTTCAAGTAAGGACTTCTTCATTGTTATAAACAAATGTAGTCTATGAATACTAAACTGTTTCTTCTTAAAGGAGTAATTCACTTCAGAATTCAAATTTCCTGATAATTTATTCTCCCGCACATCATCCAAGATGTTCATGTCTTTCTTTCTTCAGTCGAAAAGAAATGAAGGTTTTTGAGGAAAACATTCCAGGATTTCCTCCATATAGTGACTTCAATGGGGTCCAACGGGTCGAAGGTCCAGATGTGAGTTTCAGTGCAGCTTCAAAGTCTCGACACGATCCCAGCCGAGGAATAAGAGTCTGATCTAGACAAAACAGCGGCCATTTATAACAAAATAAACATTTATATACTTTTAACCACAAATGCTCATCTTGCACTAGCTGTGATGCGTCACACATTACGTAATCACGTTGAAAGGTCAAGCGGGACGTAGGCGGAAGTACCGACTTAGTGTTTATAAAGCGAACGTGCAAAGACTAAGTCAAACGCCCTTTACAAAAAGAATAAAAATTAAAAGGTAAAACAACGATGTCGGACGATTTTGAAGTTGGAGGAGAAAATAAGATTGAGTTTTTCGCCCTACTCTACATTTCTGAACCGAAACACGCGTGATTACGTAATGTGTGGCGCATCGCAGCTAATGTAAGACGAGCATTTGTGGATATAAAGTATATAAATGTTTATGTTTGTTTTTTTTATAAAATGTCCGCTGGTTTGTCTAGATCAGACTCTTATTCCTCGGCTGGATCGTGTCGAGACTTTGAAGCTGCACTGAAACTCACTTCTGGACCTTCGACCCGTTGGACCCCATTGAAGTCACTATATGGAGGAAATCCTGGAATGTCTTCCTCAAAAACCTTCATTTCTTTTCGACTGAAGAAAGAAAGACATGAACATCTTGGATGATGTGGGGGAGAATAAATTATCAGGAAATTTGAATTCTGAAGTGAACGAATCCTATAATATCCATTAAAATGCCCAAGAAGCTGAAAACCCAACTAAAACCAGCTTAAGATGGTTGTACATGGAGTTTGACCTCCATAAAAAGGTATTTTGCTCATTCAAACTTTGATCCTTAAAATCCCCAGCGTCACCCGTAACTACTTAGATTGGCTGACCTCCATGCCGTGGGGAACCAACAGTGTGGAGAACCTGGAGTTGGTCCGAGCCAAAGAGGTGTTGGAAGAGGACCACTACGGAATGGATGACGTCAAGAAACGCATTCTGGTAAAGATCAAGCATAAGCGCCTCAATCTTTGTACATTTACAAATCCTATTAATAATGCTGGTGCTTGTTCATTCCTGCAGGAGTTCATAGCTGTGAGCCAGCTTAAAGGCAGCACACAGGGAAAGATCTTGTGTTTCTATGGACCTCCTGGAGTCGGCAAGACCAGTATCGCCCGCTCAATCGCCAGAGCGCTTAATCGCGAATACTTCCGCTTTAGCGTGGGAGGAATGACGGATGTGGCGGAGATTAAAGGCCACAGGTGAGTGATGCGTACCGGACATCTGTGAGGCCACGCCCACCAGCAGTGATGTCAAAGCAAGTCAAATCAATTAAAGTCAAGTCGATTCAAGTCGAGTTAAAGTCAAATCAATTCAAGGCAAATCAATTCAAGGCAAATCAATTCAAATCAAGTCAATTAAAGTCAAATAAATTAAAGTCAAATAAATTAAAGTCAAATCAATTCAAGTCAATTCAAGTCAAGTCAAGTCAAGTCAAGTCAATTCAAGTCAAGTCAAATCAATTCGTCAAGGCAAGTCAATTCAAGTCAATTCAAGTTGAATCAAGTCAAGTCAATTAAAGTCAAGTCGAATCAAGTCAAGTTAATTAAAGTCCCTGTAAAGGCAATTTAAAAAAAAAAATCTAAACACATTATAAATGTTAGAAATGTATTGATTAAACATATTACAAAGACTGTGAACTGTGAAGTACTGAATTGTTGAGTTAGACCGTTAAACAGTTTTTCACCATTGCTATTTTCCGGATTTTCTGGGCGGGGCTAAAACAGGGCTCGATGACGCACTGGAGCCCTTGAGCTCCTGGACACGCCCCTACTTGATGACGCTCTGAGGCCACTAAGGCTGGCCGCTCCTAACAATATTATAGAGCACATTCACATCAGTTTGCCGCTCATTCGCGAGTTACTGTCAGTACTATTATTAGTAACGGCCTACAGATTGCTAGCTAGCTATGCCTTTGTCACGGAAATGCGTAACGTTACTACCTGGATGCGATCACCGGATCAGTACAAAACAGATCGGTGTCCTTATTTACATTTCCGAAAAACGATTACATCAAGAAGAAGTGGATTAATTTTGTGAAGAGCCACCTTGATGGAGAGCTGAGGATCACCGCCAAAACCCGCCTCTGTAAGTGATCATTTTACACGGGATAGTTTTATAAACTTTCATCAGAGACAACTGGGATTCACTGATAATCCGCTGTTACTAGTGAATGGGGCCGAACCGACTATCTCCCGCCTCGGCCTTCATCCTCCAGTCGCGCCGACAACTGGTGCCATCATCGGCAGTGCGTGCCCACCGTGCGAGCATCTATTCCGGCTGTAGAGTTGAGTGTGGCGACGGCAGCTTTCCCGCGAGTGGGCGTGGCTTCAGCACAGCCAGCGGACACGCCCCCAGCGTTTGAGAGCAGAGAATACTGCTCATTTTTTCAAGATTTTGATAGCTTATTTTATGTACTTGCTGGCTTTTTTTATCCTTCAAATTTGGCTGGGTGACTAATAACACATTTTTCTGTGGTGTGACAAACTCAGAACACATAAGCCGCGTTTCCACCGCAGGAACTTTCCCCAGGAACTAGGAACTTTGGGCTGGTACTCCGTGTGTTTACACTGCAGGAACCAGGGTCTAAATGAAGTTCCGGGTAAAAATTCCCCCCCCAGAAAGTCCCTGCTGGCGAGGTAGTACTTTTTCAGAGTTCAGGAACTTTCGGGGTGGGACTTGTGCGCTGAACATGCTGATTGCTTATTTTACCTTGTTCTCTCTGCCAGATGGCGCGCGTTCGTCCCATCCATCTCACGGTCATGTCCGCTATAGCTGATAACAAACGTTGTCTACTTTTATATCTAGCATTACGAGCTTTCTGAAATGAATACGCTTTGGTATTAGTGTTCGTCTCTTTTCTGCCGTTTTGTTAATTACCTCGTTAGTAAACCAATAGATCGCACACAAAAGCAGTACAGCTTGAATCTCCTCAATACTTAAAACTCAAAACAAGTACGCGCAGACTGGGAGGAGCAGTCGCACGCAGTTCAACGTCACCAGACTAATCTTCCCGGTACTTTAGTCCACGGTGTAAACGCAGTGAGCAACCGTTCTGGGGCAAAAAAAGTTCCTATGAAAAAAGTTCCTGGGACAAATAGTTCCTGGTAATTGCGGTGGAAACGCGGCTATACTTAATTTTGACTTTACAGGGACTTTAAAGTCAAATCAATTCAAGGCAAATCAAGTCAAATCAATTCAAGTCAAATCAATTCAAGTCAAATCAATTCAAGTCAAATCAATTCAAGTCAAATCAATTCAAGTCAAATCAATTCAAGTCAAATCAATTCAAGTCAAAACAATTCAAGTCAATTCAAGTCAATTCAAATCAAGTCAAGTCAATTAAACTCAATTAAAGTAAAATCAAGTAAGATCACTTCAAGTCAAATAAATTCAAGTCAAGTCAAGTCAAGTCAAGTCAAGTCAAGTCAAGTCAAGTCAAGTCAAGTCAAGTCAAATCAATTCAATTCAAGTCAAATCAATTCAAGTCAAATCAATTCAAGTCAAATCAAGTCAAGTCAAATCAAGTCAATTCAAGTCAAATCAATTCAAGTCAATGCAAGTCAAGTCAATTAAACTCAATTAAAGTAAAATCAAGTAAGATCAATTCAAGTCAATTAAATTCAAGTCAAGTCACCAGCAAGCACAATGATAAACTTACTTGAATGCGACTCCACAGACTATAGACAGAGCAAATACAATAAACCTCACTGCTATATAAACAAAACAAATATACTTGAATGCGACTCCACATTATCTTACGGCGTTGGGGTAAAAACTATTCCTGAATCTACACTTCTTTTCAAGCTCTTAGTACGCGATTCTGTGTATGATTGTGTTTGTGCGTTGCAGGAGAACATATGTTGGTGCAATGCCAGGAAAGATCATCCAGTGCCTAAAGAAAACGAAGACTGAAAACCCATTGGTCCTTATTGATGAGGTATGAACAATAAACAGGGTTCGTACATAGTGCTTAAAGTGTTTTTGAAATTCAAGTCCTGGAAAAGGGCTTGAGTTATTGAAATACATTGTAATTTTATTGATAAAGCAATCTTTTCAAGCAATCAAAATTAACGCTGCAGCCCGTCTAAAGATAATATAGATCTAAAGACATTTCGCATGACTATGATATTGATATTGATGATATTGCTCATATTAATATCCAAGTATATGATCTTTCATTCTTCAGGTCAATCAAATATTAATGGAGAAAAATCAGTTTGAAAGAGGAAAGCGATATCTTTGTCATAGTTTCCTTTCAATGGTTAAAGTTTCCACAGTCATTGCATCTGCTGCACTTTATTCATACCATTTTGCTTTATTAGTTTATTTTTATTAATCTGTTTACTTTTTTTAGAATTTAAAAGATAATAAAGAAAGATATTGTTTGATAAGTGCGATCTCTGATTGTAGTCCTTGGAAAAAAACAAAAAAGTAGTGCTTGAAAAGTCATTGAAAGTCCTGGAATTGTATTTTACAGTTTCTGTACGAGCCCTGAATAAACCCAATCCTAACTTCTGTTCTTCTGTCGGTGCGTTGGAGTAACTTTGCTGTGTTCATCTCTGTGTTCATCTCTGTGTTCATCTCTGTGTTCATCTCTGTCTTCATCTGTGTTCATCGCTGTGTTCATCGCTGTGTTCATCGCTGTGTTCATCTCTGTGTTCATCTCTGTGTTCATCTGTGTGTTCATCTGTGTTCATCTCTGTGTTCATCTCTGTGTTCATCTCTGTGTTCATCTCTGTGTTCATCTCTGTGTTCATCTCTGTGTTCATCTGTGTGTTCATCTGTGTTCATCTCTGTGTTCATCTCTGTGTTCATCTCTGTGTTCATCTCTGTGTTCACCTGTGTGTTCATCGCTGTGTTCATCTCTGTGTTCATCTCTGTGTTCATCGCTGTGTTCATCGCTGTGTTCATCTCTGTGTTCATCTGTGTGTTCATCTGTGTTCATCTCTGTGTTCATCTCTGTGTTCATCTCTGTGTTCATCTGTGTGTTCATCGCTGTGTTCATCTCTGTGTTCATCTCTGTGTTCATCTCTGTGTTCATCTCTGTGTTCATCTCTGTGTTCATCGCTGTGTTCATCTCTGTGTTCATCTGTGTGTTCATCTGTGTTCATCTCTGTGTTCATCTCTGTGTTCATCTCTGTGTTCATCTCTGTGTTCATCGCTGTGTTCATCGCTGTGTTCATCTCTGTGTTCATCTCTGTGTTCATCTGTGTGTTCATCTGTGTTCATCGCTGTGTTCATCGCTGTGTTCATCTCTGTCTTCATCTCTGTGTTCATCTCTGTGTTCATCTCTGTGTTCATCTCTGTGTTCATCTCTGTGTTCATCGCTGTGTTCATCGCTGTGTTCATCTCTGTGTTCATCTCTGTGTTCATCGCTGTGTTCATCGGGCTGTGTTCATCGCTGTGTTCATCGCTGTGCTCATCGCTGTGTTCATCGCTGTGTTCATCTCTGTGTTCATCGCGGTGTTCATCTCTGTGTTCATCGCTGTGTTCATCTCTGTGTTCATCTCTGTGTTCATCGCTGTGTTCATCTCTGTGTTCATCTCTGTGTTCATCTTTGTGTTGATCGCTGTGTTCATCGCTGTGTTCATCTCTGTGTTCATCTCTGTGTTCATCTCTGTGTTCATCTCTGTGTTCATCTCTGTGTTCATCTCTGTGTTCATCTCTGTGTTCATCTCTGTGTTCATCTCTGTGTTCATCGCTGTGTTCATCTCTGTGTTCATCTGTGTTCATCTGTGTTCATCTGTGTTCATCTCTGTGTTCATCGCTGTGTTCATCATCTCTGTGTTCATCTCTGTGTTCATCTCTTTGTTCATCTCTGTTCATCTCTGTGTTCATCTCTGTGTTCATCGCTGTGTTCATCGCTGTGTTCATCTCTGTTCATCGCTGTGTTCATCGCTGTGTTCATCGCTGTGTTCATCTCTGTTCATCTCTGTGTTCATCTGTGTTCATCTGTGTTCATCTGTGTTCATCGCTGTGTTCATCTCTGTGTTCATCTCTGTGTTCATCTCTGTGTTCATCTCTTTGTTCATCTCTGTTCATCTCTGTGTTCATCTCTGTGTTCATCGCTGTGTTCATCGCTGTGTTCATCGCTGTGTTCATCTCTGTGTTCATCTCTGTGTTCATCTCTGTGTTCATCTCTTTGTTCATCTCTGTTCATCTCTGTGTTCATCTCTGTGTTCATCGCTGTGTTCATCGCTGTGTTCATCGCTGTGTTCATCTCTGTTCATCTCTGTGTTCATCGCTGTGTTCATCGCTGTGTTCATCGCTGTGTTCATCGCTGTGTTCATCGCTGTGTTCATCTCTGTGTTCATCTCTGTGTTCATCTCTGTGTTCATCTCTGTGTTCATCTCTGTGTTCATCTCTGTGTTCATCATCTCTGTGTTCATCATCTCTGTGTCCATCTCTGTGTTCATCTCTGTGTTCATCTCTGTGTTCTTTCATCTCTGTGTTCTGTTAATCTCTGTGTTCGTTCATCTCTGTGTTCGTTCATCTCTGTGTTCGTTCATCTCTGTGTTCATCATCTCTGTGTTCATCATCTCTGTGTTCATCATCTCTGTGTTCATCATCTCTGTGTTCATCTCTGTGTTCATCTCTGTGTTCTGTTCATCTCTGTGTTCTGTTCATCTCTGTGTTCATCGCTGTGTTCATCGCTGTGTTCATCGCTGTGTTCATCTCTGTGTTCATCTCTGTGTTCATCTCTGTGTTCATCTCTGTGTTCATCTCTTTGTTCATCTCTGTGTTCATCTCTGTGTTCATCGCTGTGTTCATCTCTGTGTTCATCGCTGTGTTCATCTCTGTGTTCAACTCTGTGTTCATCTCTGTGTTCATCTCTGTGTTCATCTCTGTGTTCATCTCTGTGTTCATCGCTGTGTTCATCGCTGTGTTCATCGCTGTGTTCATCTCTGTGTTCATCGCTGTGTTCATCGCTGTGTTCATCGCTGTGTTCATCTCTGTGTTCATCTCTGTGTTCATCTCTGTGTTCATCTCTGTGTTCATCTCTGTGTTCATCTCTGTGTTAATCTCTGTGTTCGTTCATCTCTGTGTTCATCATCTCTGTGTTCATCATCTCTGTGTTCATCTCTGTGTTCATCATCTCTGTGTTCATCATCTCTGTGTTCATCATCTCTGTGTTCATCATCTCTGTGTTCATCATCTCTGTGTTCATCTCTGTGTTCATCTCTGTGTCCATCTCTGTGTTCTGTTCATCTCTGTGTTCTGTTCATCTCTGTGTTCGTTCATCTCTGTGTTCGTTCATCTCTGTGTTCGTTCATCTCTGTGTTCGTTCATCTCTGTGTTCATCATCTCTGTGTTCATCATCTCTGTGTTCATCATCTCTGTGTTCATCATCTCTGTGTTCATCATCTCTGTGTTCATCATCTCTGTGTTCATCTCTGTGTTCTGTTCATCTCTGTGTTCTGTTCATCTCTGTGTTCTGTTCATCTCTGTGTTCATCGCTGTGTTCATCGCTGTGTTCATCGCTGTGTTCATCGCTGTGTTCATCGCTGTGTTCATCGCTGTGTTCATCGCTGTGTTCATCTCTGTGTTCATCTCTGTGTTCATCTCTGTGTTCATCTCTGGTTTCATCGCTGTGTTCATCGCTGTGTTCATCTCTGTGTTCATCTCTGTGCGGTGCAGGTTGATAAGATCGGTCGAGGGTACCAGGGTGACCCGTCTTCTGCGCTACTGGAGCTTTTAGATCCAGAACAGAACGCTAACTTTCTTGACCACTACCTGGATGTGCCTGTCGACCTGTCTAAGGTATGAACTCGCCAAAATACACATTTGTTGGAAGAATACTATGGTTTTATTTAGGGTTTGAAAGTAACACCCGCCAAATGCGTGTAAAAATCACCAGTGGCGGGAAACACTGTCGAATCACGAGCCAATTGGCGTGTTACTTATTATGTTTACACACTTTGCTGGGGAAGTTCGTGTCAGACAAATCTGCAGAGATTTAGAGCAAATTACTGAACATCATGATATATGAAATACAGTGTTGCGCAGAATCTGCTCATATCTGGCGCACTTGAACACACACGTCACTACACAACTAATAACGGCACGCTTGTTCATTTGCATTGAAGCAATAGTGAAGATTAAAAAGCATTTGATGAACAGAAAAGACATTGTTATTTTCCAACATCCTACATGTTCTTTGTCCTGTATTATTGATCTGTCCTCCTAAAACACATGTCTGGTGATGAGGATGAAAGAGGAAGAGGAGATGCTGGATGACCGGATTTTGTTTGAGCAAGAAATTAATGTATGAAACCCAAATTTTAAAATATATATATATATAAACTGTGACGTAGTTAATCTGGTTCATTTCTTTTTTGGCTAGTAGAAGTTCTGAATGACCGGTAACTTTAGTTAAAAATTTAGTAGCCAAATTGGCCAGTGAGTGAAAAAGTTAATTTCAAACGCTGGTTTTATTGTTCCTACATTAGTGTTTCCTTTGGTTTTCAGGTGCTTTTCATTTGTACGGCCAATGTTCTCGACACCATCCCCGAACCCTTACGAGACCGAATGGAAATGATCAACGTCTCAGGCTACGTTGCTCAGGAGAAACTGGCAATTGCGGAGGTACGTTCACTTGGTCTTTTTTCCTGAAAAGCATCAACACGTTTTTTTGTTGGGGGTGTTGGGGGGTCTGGCATAATGGGTAAAGCTTAAAGCCGCCAACTGGAAGTTTGCTGGTTCAAGAATGAAAGTTAACAAGCCATAACTCCTAAAGATGGTTGTGCACCGATTATACTTGGCTATTAGCTGATCAATCGGATTATAAAATGGTGGATCTTATTTTTACCTGGTAGACCACCTTAAACCAGCAACAAATTTGACAAAACCCAGTTAAAACCAGTATAAGATGATTGTACATGGGTTTTTCCTGGTCATTCGCTGCTTTAAATGCTTTATCAGTTGGACTACAAGCTGGTGGACCTGGTTTCGACATGGTAGACCACCTTAAACCAGCAACAGAGTTGATAAAACCCAGCTAAAACCAGTTGTACATAGTTTCTACCTGGTCATAATTGCACTAGATGATTAATCAGTTGGACTACAAGCTGGTTGACCTGGTTTCGTCATGGTAGACCACCTTAAACCAGCAACAAAGTTGACAAAACCCAGCTAAAACCAGTTGTACATAGTTTCTACCTGGTCATAATTGCACTAGATGGTTAATCAGTTGGACTACAAGCTGGTGGACCTGGTTTTGACATGGTAGACTATCTTAAACCAGCAACAAATTTGACAAAACCCAGCTAAAACCAGTTGTACATAGCTTCTACCTGGTCATAATTGCACTAGATGGTTAATCAGTTGGACTACAAACTGGTGGACCTGGTTTGGACATGCAACAAATTTGACAAAACCCAGCTAAAACCAGTTTAAGATGATTGTACATGGGTTTTACCTGGTCATTAGCTGCTTTAAATGGTTTACCAGTTGGACTACAAGCTGGTGGACCTGGTTTCGACATGGTAGACCACCTTAAACCAGCAATAAAAGTTGATAAAACCCAGCTAATACTCTCTTGATATAGCCAATGCATCAGGTTATGTTGCTGAGGAGAAACTGGCCATTTCTGAGGTAATCCCTGACGCTAGAAGTCACTTCCAAAGAGTTCGTTCCACTGGATGCATTGAAGTCTCCTGGTTGTTGTGCCCCGCAGAGATACCTGGTTCCCCAGCTGCGATCCCTGTGCGGGCTGGATGAGCAGAAGGCCAGGATCACGCCCGAGGCCCTGAGCGTGCTCATCAGACAGTACTGTCGGGAGAGCGGCGTCAGGAACCTGCAGAAGCAAGTGGAGAAGGTTCAGGAGATTCATTACTTACTCAGATTCAGGGTTAGTGTTTCTGAGCGACCCGCTGAGCTCTGGACCTTCACAGGTGTTCAGGAAAGTGGCGTTTCGGATCGTCAGCGGCGAGGGGTCGGAGGTCAGCGTCACTTCGGAAAACCTCCAGGATTTCGTGGGGAAGCCCATCTTCACTGTGGACCGGATGTATGACGTCACGCCGCCGGGAGTCGTCATGGGCCTGGCCTGGACCGCCATGGGTGAGCGCTCGGTTTACTCGTTTCCAGATTCGACTATGAATAGTTTAGTGCAGTTTTGGTTTTTCAAGGGATACTCCACCGTTTTTTCATATTAAACTGTTATTCCCTTAACTAAGACGAGTTGATACATACCTCTCTCATCTCAGTGCGTGCACTAAATCGTTCTGGCGCGCGGAGAAACTTTGTTAGCGCTTAGCTTAGCCCAGTTCATTCATTAGGATCCAAGCAGAGAAGCGACCAAACACCTCCACGTTTTCCCTATTTAAATACAGTTACACTAATAACTATAATGTATGGCGGAATAGCACCAATCTGCACCGAGTCTGAAATCAGGAGTGATGATATTACTGCGAAGAGTCGAAGTGCTCCCAAGTGCTATTCCGCCATACATTATAGTTATCCATTTTACACGCTTAGAAAAGCGCCACGTTTTATTTTGTGTCACCATTCTTGGTCGAGTTACACTTAGAGCTGTCGCGATAGTCAATATATCGACTTATCGCACGATATATGGAAATGACCGCGATCATTTTTGGTGCCGCGATATATTGCAACTGATAATTTGTTTTATTATTAAAAATAATAATTAGATTTATTTTTACATTACAATGAATGTCACCAACATTTTAGTTGATCGCGCTGCCTCTGTCATCTTGTCTGCACTCTGAGTCGGAGGCGGGGCTCAGGCAGCGTGTCCACACACACACACACACACACACACACACAGAGAGAGAGACCGTCAGGTAAAGAGAAGGCGTGAACCAAGTGTTCTGTTTCGTGACATCTACAGCGAGCCAGTTAGGAATAACGAGTCCAACATGGAATTGAGCCATGTGAGTGATTCTATTCAGAGTGAACACGGTGAAAGATATGAATAAAGATGTGAAAGATATGAATAAAAATGATGTTTATTCAGCCAGCTCACATACCTGTATTTACTTCCTTTTTTCGGTCGAAGTCCACAGTAGTCAATTGTCCAGTTTGCGGGGCGCGATCATTAGTTATCTTGGTTACCAATGATCGCGCGCGCGAACTCGACAATCGCCTACTGTGGACTTCGACCGAAAACAGGAAGTAAATACAGGTAGGCTATGTGAGCTGGCTGAATAAACATCATTTTTATTCATATCTTTCACATCTTTATTCATATCTTTCACTGTGTTCACTCTGAATAAAATCACTCACATGGCTGTTCACTTAAAATGACACATCAAGGATGTTAACAGGTTTAAAACTAGCCCCGTTTAAGTCAACAATGTGCAAATTTTAAAAAGAGGATAACACGGTGTAGGCAACACCGATTTTTGTCGTTGTTCTCTGTACTGACAGCACTCCAAATTTACCAAAAAAATGAGCTCAATGTTAAAATTCTTTTCAGGAAAAGTTCTCCTTTAAGCCCCACAACGTAAACATGTTGGTGTTCCTTTCTCGGAATCTGCCTAACAATTAAAAAACTAATCTGACAGCAGAAATGTCCTGTTGATGCATCTGTGCCTTTGTGTGAGACACTTTAAAAGTTTAAATTGACATATTACTTTGTTTTGATCTAGTTCTTTATACCTTGCACTTTTTTTGTTAACGAAAGTGTATTTATTTACTTGTTTTATTTATTTGTGATATATATTTTTTTCACATTTCACAATGTCTAAATATTGAATAGAATAAGAATAAAATGTTCTTTGAAACAGTGTACTTGCATTATTATGCTATTATATTGTCATTATGTAATCAGTGGCATAAAATGGTCTGAAAATTACAATAATATCGTTTATCGCAATTAATTTTGGTGCAATATATCGCACAACAAAAAGTAGATATCGTGACAGCTCTAGTTACACTACTCGTGTAACTGTATTTAAATAGGGAAAACGTGGAGGTGTTTGGTCGCTTCTCTGCTTGGATCCTAATGAATGAACTGTGCTAAGCTAAGCGCTAACAAAGTTTCTCGCGCGCCAGAGCGATTGAGCGCACGCACTGATATGAGAGAGGTATGCATCAACTCGTCTTAGTTAAGGGAATAACAGTTTAATATGAAAAAACGGTGGAGTATCCCTTTAAGGCTCTGTGATGTTGGCTAATGGTCACATGACATGCAGGTCTTGTTTAGTAAGTATGCTATTTTTATTTTAGAAGTATATAATTATTTTAATTTGACATTCGTGATTTCTTTTATTTTTTATTATGTATTTTTATGTACTTTTTATGATTTTGCTTTATTTTTATTCTCTTTTTAAAGCTATGTATTTTAATTTGACATTTTTATGATATAATTCATTCTTAGTTTTGCCTTAACTTGTTTATATTTTTACATTTTTGTTTTTATTTTAAATTATTTATTTTAATTTTACATTAGTTAAATATATATTCATTCTTAGTTTGTGCTTTGTTCTATTTTTCTATTTTATTATTTATTTATTGCAATGTTTAATTTTTATAATTTAATTTATGATTAATGGTGCTTTATTTTGATTTGATTTTAACTTAAAATTATTTATTTTACAATTCATCATTAAATTTTTAGTTAGTGCTTTATTTTAACAATTGATTTTATAATTTAATAACATTTTAGTTTTAGCTTTATTTTAATTAGTTTACATTTTACCATTATTTATTTTAAAAAATGTTACATTTTTAGTTAGTACTTTATCTTAATTTGTTTTATTGTAACAATTTATTTTTATAGTTTAATTAAACTTCAGTTGGTGCTTTTTGACATTTTAATACTATATTCAATTTTATGGTTTGTTTTTTAGTTGGCGCATAATTTTGACTTTTATTTGAACTATTTATTGTAATTTTTAATTTTATTAGTGTTTTATCTTAAAATAATTTTTTTTAATTGAAATTTTTATGAGCTAATTTTTAGCTAGTGCTTTATTTTGATTTGCTTTCATTTTTAAATTATTTGTAAAAAAAAAAAAAAATTTAATAAATTTTTAGTTAGTGCTTTATTTTGGTTTGCTGTATTTTTCCAATTACATTTTTAGTTAATGCTTTTTGACATTTTAATACTGTATTAAATTTTATGGTTTGTTTTTTAGTTGGCGCATAATTTTGACTTTTTTATTTGAACTATTTATTGTAATTTTTCATTTTTTATAATTTAAGTAATGTTTTATTAGTGTTTTATTTGTTTTTTTATCTTAAAATTATTATTATTTTTTGACATTTTCATGAGCTAATTTTTAGCTAGTGCTTTATTTTGATTTGCTTTCATTTGTAAATTATTTGTAAAAAAAAAAAAAATTTAATAAATTTTTAGTTAGTGCTTTATTTTTCCAATTACATTTTTAGTTCATGCTTTTTGACATTTTAATACTCTATATATATATATATTTACTGTTTATTGATTTAGTTAGCGCATTATTTTAGACCTTTTTATTATTATTTTCCCAGTTTATGTGATGATTAGCTTTTAAGCGTCCTCTCACAAGCGCTCGCTGTCCTCAGGCGGCTCGACGCTGTTCATCGAGACGTCTCTGCGGCGCGCGAGGGATCCGGTGGGCAAAGACGGGCCCCGAGACGGGTCGCTGGAGCTCACGGGGCAGCTGGGAGACGTCATGAAGGAGAGCGCTAAGATCGCCTACACCTTCGCTCGCTCGTTCCTCATGAAGCAGCAGCCGGAGAACCAGTTCCTGCTGGGATCCCACATACACCTGCACGTGCCGGAGGTGAAGATCGTGCTCTCCTTTATTTACACAGCGCAGTGTGTCAGAGCAGCTTTACACAGATAACAGGGAAATAATGCAACCGAGTGTGTTTCCAGAAGAGAATAGCGTCACGGTTCAGCTTAAGTCAGTTCAGTGATGCTTCATTTTTGTTGTAAAAAAGTTATTTAGTTCATTTATATAAATATACAGCCGCTCTGAAGTAAACTGTGATGTCATCGTCCGGCTCAGTTCAGTTCTCGTATAATGGTGTCAATGCAGGAGATCAATAATATTGTTGAATATTAAATTAAATGTTACATTTAATGTCCGCAACTGTGTCCGACAGTGGCGGTGTGTGTTTGGTCCAATCTCGTGGTGGTGTTCCTGTGCGTCCGACTCGTAAATACGATCTTTACGACACAGTGTGTGTGTGTGTTGTTGGTGTGTTCAGGGAGCGACTCCTAAAGACGGGCCGAGCGCGGGCGTCACGATCATCACGGCTCTGCTGTCTCTGGCTCTCGACGCCCCGGCCCGGCAGAACCTGGCCATGACCGGAGAGGTGTCTCTGACCGGGAAGATCCTGCCGGTGGGGGGCATCAAGGAGAAGACCATCGCTGTGAGTGTGTGTGTGTGTGTGTGTGTGTGTGTGTGTGTGACACTGCCGGTCGGGGGCATCAAGGAGAAGACCATCGCTGTGAGTGTGTGTGTGAGTGTGTGTGTGTGTGTGTGTGTGACACTGCCGGTCGGGGGCATCAAGGAGAAGACCATCGCTGTGAGTGTGTGTGTGTGTGTGTGTGTGTGTGTGTGTGTGTGTGTGTGACACTGCCGGTGGGGGGCATCAAGGAGAAGACCATCGCTGTGAGTGTGTGTGTGTGTGTGTGTGTGTGTGTGTGTGTGACACTGCCGGTCGGGGGCATCAAGGAGAAGACCATCGCTGTGAGTGTGTGTGTGAGTGTGTGTGTGTGTGTGTGTGTGACACTGCCGGTCGGGGGCATCAAGGAGAAGACCATCGCTGTGAGTGTGTGTGTGTGTGTGTGTGTGTGTGACACTGCCGGTGGGGGGCATCAAGGAGAAGACCATCGCTGTGAGTGTGTGTGTGTGTGTGTGTGACACTGCCGGTGGGGGGCATCAAGGAGAAGACCATCGCTGTGAGTGTGTGTGTGTGTGTGTGTGACACTGCCGGTGGGGGGCATCAAGGAGAAGACCATCGCTGTGTGTGTGTGTGTGTGTGTGACACTGCCGGTGGGGGGCATCAAGGAGAAGACCATCGCTGTGTGTGTGTGTGTGTGTGTGACACTGCCGGTGGGGGGCATCAAGGAGAAGACCATCGCTGTGAGTGTGTGTGTGTGTGTGTGTGTGTGTGACACTACCGGTGGGGGGCATCAAGGAGAAGACCATCGCTGTGAGTGTGTGTGCACGTGTGTGTGTGAGTTACTGGGGTGTGTGTCTGTGTGTGTGAGTTACTGGGGTGTGTGTCTGTGTCTGTGTCTGTGTGTCTGTGTGTGTGTGTGAGTTACTGGGGTGTGTGTCTGTGTGTGTGTGTGTGAGTTACTGGGGTGTGTGTGTGTCTGTGTGTGTGTGTGTGTGTGTGAGTTACTGGGGTGTGTGTCTGTGTCTGTGTGTGTGTGTGAGTTACTGGGGTGTGTGTGAGTGTGTTACTGGGGTGTGTGTGTGTGAGTTACTGGGGTGTGTGTGTGTGAGTTACAGGGGTGTGTGTGTGAGTTACTGGTGTGTGTGTGTGTGAGTTACTGGGGTGTGTGTGAGTGTGTTACTGGGGTGTGTGTGAGTGTGTTACTGGGGTGTGTGTGAGTGTGTTACTGGGGTGTGTGTGTGTGAGTTACTGGGGTGTGTGTGTGTGTGTGTGTGTGAGTTACTGGGGTTAACTGCCTTATAAGTAAATCACTTTTATTTGAGGATGTTCGATCACAATATCACACATCTCTATAGACAAGATATAAATTATTATTGTAATTAAGGATGATTGTGATGATGCATATATAGACTTAGAGATATATATATATACAGTAGTCAACATTTGAAGTGGATCAAAACCTTTCATCAAAGTTATACATATATTTTGAACAATACCCGTTCTCGTCTCAGAACAACTTAGAGGAACTCTTTTGATCCCCTTCAAATGTTGACTACTGAATCTATATATTCTAAATTGACACTATAGATGTTTATGTATACATGTACTCAGTGATGTGGTGTGTGTTGTCAGGCGAAGAGAGCGGGCGTCACCTGCATTATCCTGCCGGCCGAGAACAGGAAGGACTTCTCGGATCTGGCCGACTACATCACAGAGGGACTGGAAGTGCACTTCGTGGAGAACTACAGCCAGATCTTCCCACTCGTATTCTCGGGACACTGAGGCGACGCTTGTCTTCGTGAGGTCACACACACACACACACACGAGCAGGGCGAGTTATTCCCCATGAGAGACTGTTGCATCATGGGCCGCGGATCGTCATGATCCCTGAAGCGCTGGGGACTCTGTTGCTGCTACTCAGACTCTACTGAAGATTTTATACTCATCATAATCTCATGTCATATGTGTAAATAACTGCCTTAAACGTGGTACCTGGAATCATTTACAATAAATATATAAATTATGCAACAGCTTGTGTCTCGATTCGAATCATTTCTTCAAGGTCATTCAATTTTATCTACACATTTAGTGAATTCAGTCGTTTGAGGATATTTTTTTAGTGGTGTGTGAATTTATTAAAATTGATATTTTTTTTGTACCTTCATTACTAATATATTTAAATGGATGAAAAACAAGGTTTGTTAATTACAACTTCATAGTTTTGAAGTAGTGTCAGAATTTTATTTTTTTGTCAATTTCAACTTTTCGTCTTAAAAATATGACTTGGTCTCATAATTATGACAGTTGAAATTATAAGATAAAAATTTAATATTTAATAACACTGGTTAAAAAAAAAGTGCTTTTGTAAATCACAATTAAACACACCAAGTCATATGAGATAATTTATAATTATGACAGACATGGTCATATGAGTGTTGAAATTATAACATACTGTCATAATTATTCATTTTTATCTCATTACTTAGAACGTATAATTTTGATAGATTAAGCATGATTTTAACCAGTGTTATTCAATATTACAGTTAAAGTTGATATATTTTAATTGTACTAAATTGCAACTTCATTACAAATATATTTAAATGGTTGAAAAGGTTCGTTAAAAATGACAACTTTGCCATAACTTTGACTTAGTATGTCGGAATATAAACTTGTCAAATTCAACTTTTCCACTGTCAGAAACTAATGTCATAATTTTGACTTGGTATGTAATTATTTTCTAAAAATATATCAATTTTGAATGTAATATTGAATAAAGCTGGTTAAAAAAATCTTTTTTTTTAAATCAATTATCAAAACTACACTGTCATATGAGATAGAAAAGTTAAAATGATGACATGCCAAGTCATATTTGAGAAATGAATGTCATAAATGACTTATGTAATTAATTTCTCAAGTATGACTTTCATATCATAATTTTAACTTTTCTATCTCATGACAGTGTAGTTTTGATAGACAAGTTAAAATTATGACACAAGACATATTTGAGAAAATAATTACATACCAAGTCCAAAGTATGACATTCTTTTCTCAAATATGACTTAGCATGTCATAATTTTGAACTTTTCTATCAAAACTAGTCATATGATAGAAGTTAAAATTATGACATGCTGTCATATTTGAAAAATTAATAATTACATACCAAGTTAAAATTATGACATGCTAGGTCATATTTGAGAAATTAATAATTACATACCAAGTCAAAATTATGACAATTTCTCAAATATGACTTAGCATGTCACAATTTTGACTTGGTATGTAATTATTCATTTCTCAAATATGACTTAGCATGTCATAATTTTAACTTTTCTATCAAAACTAGTCATATGATAGAAGTTAAAATTATGACATCCTGTCATATTTGAGAAATTAATAATTACATACCAAGTCAAAATTATGACAATTTCTCAAATATGACTTACCATGTCATAATTTTGACTTGGTATGTAATTATTAATTTCTCAAATATTACTTTCATTTCATATTTTAACTTTATCAAAACTACAGTCATGATATAAAAGTTAAAATTATAACATGCTATATCATATGACAGTGTAGTTTTGATAATTGAAAATATTTGTATTTTAAACAGTGTTATTCAATATTACATTTAAAATTGATATTTTAATTAAACTAAACAGCAACTCCATTACAAATCTATTTAAATGCATGACAAACGAGTTTCATTAGTGTATTTTAGTTGACCAAGAATGCTTGTAGACTCATTCAGTAGTGAACTCATTTCAAAGACAACAGAAATAACCATTAAAATACATAGAAATGTGTTCTAAAGTACTTAATTCATTAGTTTACTTGAATAATTTGGTGTATCAGATACACAGCCCGTGACAGATGACGAAACACAGGCACATTCACACGAGTAACCCTGTCTTTGGTTAAATACACTGATATGATCCACAGCTTCTCTGCAAACACAAGTTCCTCCAGTCGAGCGACACGTTCAAATGAAGCACAAGTCAAACGCGTGTTTTTACACATACAAATTTATTTGTCATAATTCAGGCTACTCCTTCTTGGCAGCGGCTTTCCTCATCGCGGCCAGGATGTTGCTGAGCTCCTCACGCTTTCTCTTGGCTCGGATGTGAGTTCCCACCTGTGTACACACACACACACACAATGAGGAAAACTAGACTCAAACCTGCACATTTAGGCCAATAGAGTTCCCATCTTATACAAACACTGTCATGTTCTCTTGCGTTCGGATGTTAAACCTTAAACCAAATCATTCTGATCACAGACTTTGAGTTTCAGAGTCACCAAGCCAACATTTGAGATGCTGCGATGTGATTGGTCCACTGGTTAGTCCAACTATCCAATCACAGCCTCCGCTGAGGAAAAGTCACCTGAGGTTTTGAGGGATTTATTCGGTAAATGTGTTTCCATCCTAGTTTATACGCATGTCTTATCGGATTGAACAATTATCCGCCTCAATTAAGGAAATTCGTTTTTTAACGCATTTTTTAAATTAACGCAAATCTTACCATTTGCTTCTAGTGTTTTTTTTGTATGCAATATTCTCAAATGCACATAAAAATAGTGCAAAGATGCATAAATTAAACCTGCCGGTCAAAATCTGGACTGAATGAGATGGTCAATTTAGTCATTTTAATTTTTTTTTTAGAAAAAGTATGTTTTTTCAGATTTTGTACCAATTGTTTATAAAATTTTAAAGTTGTTTTGATAACTATTTTCTTTTATAGCATCGTCTAACCAAGTTATGTGTGCGTGTATATATCCTATAACTATATAAATAGACAAATCATAAATACATTTTAAAGCTGCTTCGAAGAGTTTTCTTTCTAAGCATCATCAAACCAAGTTTATATAAAAAAAATATATACACTTACAAATATATATATATATACACACCGATAAAGAGAAACGTATATTCAGTTCCTCGCGATTAAAAGCAAAATCATTTCACTAACATTCACATTACTAAAAGTTATACTAAATACTACATATTAAAAATTATACTAAATGTGTATCTTCATATAATATGGTCAATATGGAATCTAATTTATTTTTAAAAAAGAAAAAAGCTAATTTTCCAGAAACTGGTTGAATAAACACGGATGCGGATCAACATACCCTTTTCTTGATGAACTTGAGGGCGCGTTTGTCCTTGGACACCTTCAGCAGCTCCATGGCACGTCTCTCGTAGGGCGCGAAACCACACACCTCGCGGATCATGTCGCGCACAAACTTAGTGTGCTTGGTCAGATGCTGAAACGCAACAGCGACGTTACGTTACACACAATTATACTGGTATAATATGGTGTATACAGCAGTGCATGATGGGAGAAAGTCACCGAAATGAGTGTAAAACCACGTTAACTGTTAAATGGGACATAGATCTGAACTTAAGTGGTTTTAAGATTATCACAGATTGAAAGCACTTTTAATAAAACAGCATAAAAAGTTATAGAAATTAGCTTTAAAGTAAATGTACTTAACTAAAAATTATTATTATTATTATTATTTTTTAATTTGGACTGAAATCGATAGAAAATTCAAAGCCATGCTTCTAAATTTAAGCTTGACATCTAAAAAATGAAGTGCGCTACAAGTAACGTACCGTATCGAACAATTTCAAAACGGTTTCACGGTAAGTATTTTGACCGTTAAGTTTTCGAATTAAAATGTGTGACGTTGAAAAACCTGTTGATAAAAGCGCGCAACTGTGACACTGGCAGTTGGCCCAATGACGTGACGTGCAATTTTTATGTCCAAACCCCTTTATGAAGTCAAAATAAGGAAATGTTTAATAAAAAGCACATTTATTGAATATTAATCTCTGTTTATCAAATGATATGAACATATAGTGAGGGTATTACAAAGTGTAAGAATTATTAGACATTATAGTCTCATAATGTCATACCGGATAACTGTCCGGACCTTAGAGTGACATACAAAAAAGCCAAACAAACTGTAAAAAATCTAATAAACCCTAACATCTCTGCCACAGGCATTATTGTATGTGCCTTGACAACAATATATTTAAATATTACAAAGAATATGACATCCAGTTGATTGTTATGCTTTGGAGCATTCTGTCCCAAAACTGTCTGTCAGCCAATGTCATACGGGATAACAAGCAAATTGGAGCAATTTTATTGTGACACGATGTGAGACAGCATGTTACACAATCAGGAAGACCCTGAAGGACCCCCAAACAATGGTGAAAGTCTTTCATAAAATGTTTAACTTACCCTTTTTCCTCACTAGCACACTATGTAGTAAAATCCTGTGTCATATGGGATAACGCTAAAATAACATATATAATGTGGATTTTATGCCAATATGTTTATTTAGCATGAATTTACATATTTGGAAGTTGAAGGTAAAGGTTACAGATTTCTTTAGGTAGCCAAAAATACTGCCTGATTAAGATTTAAACTGAGTTTTGTCATACCGGATAACAATTTTGTCATATAGGATAACAGTTGTTAGCCCATAATGTCATCCGTTATCTTGGATGACGTGTTAGACAATATATTCTTAGACAGTTTTCAGCTTTAATTTGCATAATTTCCATTCAAATTGTGATATTAACATATCATTAACATTGTTTAGTTGAATATTAGCAAATTATATAATTCATAATAATATTCAATTACAGTTACATTAACTATAGACATTGTCTAAAATAACATTTAGTGTTCATTTAATGAAATTTATTGATTCAGTGTTCAACCCATTAATACGATTTTTCTTTATAAATCTGTTGTTCAATTAGATGCTTTTGTAAATTTGTTCATTGAAATCAGTGAAGGTCGCCTACTTTAACCCTTTACATTATTTATGAATATTGATGTAGAGTGACTATGATCAGTAAAATGGTTCAAGGTACTTTTCAGTAATAAATTAAACCTAATGTTGAAAAGTTGTGCTGTTTTGATATTCATAAACATGAAAAAAAAATGGTTTAAATGTATTTACTTGCCAAATCTGGGAAGAAACCACACTGAGTTTGTGTGTAACAGTTTACACACTGAAAACCACATCTCTATTTCTTTAAAGTGGAGCCTAATTAATTTCCTTGGAAAAACATTGCATAACATTAATTATTTATGAACATTATTATGTGTAAGTGTTGTAAAAATGACAATTCATGTGTTAACTCATATGGTGTCATACCGGGTAACAATTTAAGTCAGGCGGGATAACGCTGTTTTTTCCCCATTGAAATGCATAATTTCACTTAATGGAGTTGAGGAAACAATAATAACATGATATCAAGTCCTGTAAAACTTTTTCAGACATTTTGCATTTTAAATTACATTGCAGTGTTAAAATGTGTGTAAAGAACTTGAACAAGTAGGGTCACGTTTAAAGAAATCACAATATAATGAGAAAAAAATAGTTGCGCCGATTTTTTTTTCTGAGCTTTAAATATTGTTTACTGCATCACTTTACATATTCATGAAGTATTTTTGATTTGAAAAGTTTTAATATCATAATATTTAGAAAATGCATTAACGTTATCCCGTATGACATTTTGACTGGTGTCGTCACATATTTCTCAGTTAAACCGCTTAAAATACATTGTTTAAAATTGAGATTTTAGTAATAAGTAAAAAAACATCCCCATAAAGATAATAACTACTTTGATGTGCAGTTTTAACCTATTTTAATTTATCAGTTGAAAACCTTATTTGTCACTGGCCCAGTTAACAAGTTAAATGCTGATTTTAACCATCCAAAACAGTGAAACATGGACTCACTCACCCCTCTCCTGCGACTGTGCTTGGGCTTCGACACGTTTTTGGTCACTGGATGGCCTTTATTGAGGCCAACTGCCATAGGATACCTAATCGCCATCTCTGAGGAGAACAAATGTGATTGAATACACATGAAAACATGAGCTGCATGTGTGCTATTAGTGGTCTATACAATAGCTCTAAGTCATTATATAACACCATTTCATGATAAGGAGGAATACAGTAAACATTTTAAACACGTTTTAGGTTTGAAGCTTCCCAGATATAGTACATTTATAACGACAGTTTTTGAGAATAAACTCCCGAGTGCTTCACCGCATCTACTCTGAGTGAAACCCTCCAAAACACACAAACATCACGCTAATTGTTCCCAATAATCACTGGAAATCACCTTAGATGGTTTATATTTACAAATGCGTGCACTTTTGTAATGATTTGAGGTAAGATGTATTAGATATAAATGTGATTTTAATGCTTGCGATTCTCCAGCGATTCATACCTGCGTTTTGCTAATGGCGTCCAAACCGGAAGGACCGCTGCTAGGCGGAAGTTGAACTTTCACACGCGACGAAAAGAGAAGAGTTCGCGGGAAAAACGAGTGGCGCCATCTAGACAAAAGCTGTCGTGAGGCTTGTAGTCCGGTGCGTTCATAGATGATATGTTAAATATTAACAGCTGGTTGATTGGAGAGTTATTATTTTTAATGTTTGCTTTTTTATAATCCCAGAACGATTCGATCCAGTAAAATTAATAAAACAAGCAAATTACATCATTGCATTATCATTCTACATTTCCCTCGAAAACTCAAAGAAATAGCACATGTTTGTTAATGTTCCTATTAATTAATATATATATTTGACAAATTATTTCATTATATTTATATTATTTTGTTGTATATTTTTAGCAATATGTTAATTTAAATAATAGCAAACATATATATGCCCTAATGTGCTTCAAAAAGAATATATATATATATATATATATATATATATATATATATATATATATATATATATATATATATATATATATATATATATATATATAAAATATTAAAATAATATCTAATAATATTTCTCCCTCATTTATCGGGCCTTTGGTTGGATTTTAGACTACAAATCCTATGAAGAAAAAATTTAGCTGAGTGGATTTGATAATAATAATACACTTCAATGATCATGGAATAATATCAATTATATAAAGGCTCATTCAATTATCAAAAAAATAAGAAACATAATAAGACATACTTCATACAATTGTTAATATTTATGGGACATTTTCACATTCATAAAATGAAATGGTCCGACACCAAACCTATTTTTTACTTTAAAAATTATTTTAAGTTTTATTGTTCTGTTTTGTGTAATTACACAAGTAAAAAGGCAGTTAGAGATCGTATAACTGTTATATAACATTGTATGATGTTGTATAAAGTGGCACCCTTTTCCTTTTGTCTATTATAATTTTGTTCTATTTTATTATATTTTACTTCGAATGAATATGTCTCATTGTATCGTTCTGGTTAATGGCTTTTTAAATAATAATAAAAATCTAATATATAAAAAAAGACTACAAATCCCATGAGCACTTCGACGGATTTTTGGCGCGGTTTTACGTTAGCGGCGGCCATTTTCTTTTCACACCTCCGTTTCAAAGACAGCCAACCAGCACTCGGACTACAAACACACGGTTTCATTCAAAAAACTCCACAAACAAAAACTTCCAAACGCATCCGGAAAACCGTCCCGCGTACGACTCAGAGGCCGCTGCTCACACACCGGACCGAAGTGGAACACTAAAAGGAGTGTTTATTCGAGGTAAAGTGGGTCCGTAGCGTGAATATGGCGACCGCAACCCCGAGCCGCGAGTCTGGCCGCGCGTCGGCCGCGCAGACGCCCCTGAGCCCGACGCGGATCTCGCGTCTGCAGGAGAAACAGGAGCTGAGCGCGCTCAACGATCGCCTGGCCGTGTACATCGATCGCGTACGGTCTCTGGAGCTCGAGAACGACCGGCTGCTCGTCAAAGTGTCCGAGAAAGAGGAAGTATCGACCAGAGAGGTGCAAAACCCTTCCTTTGTGCTGATTTACCATCGATAAATCTGCCCGCTAGCGTCAATTTCACGTGTATATATGGTGTTGCCATAAATCTATTTTTTTTGTGTATTTTATTTACGTTTATTACCATGTTTATATTGTAAATAAGATTCTTTTAGTTAACATTTCAAGTGTTTTATGTTGTTCTTGATGTTTAAAACTTACACATGTCATCGCGACAAAACATTTGAAAAATCGCGCGAGGAAGTCGAGCGTTTTTACACTAACTTATCAACCATGTGCATTTATAATAGCCTTTAGTTTATATTAAAGCACATCTGACTTAACGTTATACAAAATGCGTTGCATGTAAAGGCAAGGTGAAATGCATTCAGGGAGTGGCCGTGAAATTGTGTCCGCATGGCTTCAATTTGTATAATTTGCCTTATGTATGCACGTGCCAGACTTTTAGTTGTGCGTTTATGTGTTAAAAGCAAATGTAAAACTTTTCCAAGTATGAGTTCTGGTCTGTATATGTGTGTCCTGAATATCTTTGGGCGTTTTCCTCAAACTTTTTTTTTTTTGGGGAGTGGCCAAATGCTCTTTTCAAATTTGAATCTGGTCCCCCTTTCCATCTGCTCCCTTTGTTTTGAATGTTGACCACATTAAACTGAAGCCCTCACACATCAAACATGCATAAAGAAATAGTTTGAATGCAGTTTGATATCATGCACGATCCTATAGAAACTTTTCGGTCGTATTTCCAACTTTCCAAGTGGATTTACTGTCAAATAATGTCCGATAATAGCAGTTTATTGATTTAAACTTGTCATTTATTCATCCTTAAGTTGATAAATGCCTGTACAAAATTCTTTAAAATTAAGTTTGTAGCCAAACACTTTTGGGCACCATTGACTTCCATAGTATGGGGATTTTTCGGCAAACTATCTCTTACACAATTCAAGACTTGTTGAATCCTGAATAGCTTTAATCTTTAATATCACACACAATCCTATAAAAACGTTTCGCCATACACACGCTCTGTATTTCCAAGTGGATTTACTGACAAATGATGTCTGATAATAGCAGCTTATTGATTTAAAGGATTAGTTCACCTTAAAATGAACACTCTTGTCATTTATTCTCCCTTAAGTTGTTAAACACGTGTAAATATTTCTTGGAAATTAAGCTCGTTTGAAGAATGTTTTTAGCCAAACACTTTTGGGCACCATTGACTTCCATAGTATGGGGGAAAAAAGTATTTAATAAAAAATTTTGGGTGAACTATCTCTTCAAGACTTGTTAAATCCTGAATAGCTTTAATCTTTAATGTTACACACAATCCTATAAAAACGTTTCGCCATACACACACGCTCCGAATTTCCAACTTAAACTGAGTTTATTTACTATTATTTAGCTAAATTTGGTTTAAGTGTGAGACTTCTAGCATCCTAAATCCATTCAGTCGCGCTTTATTCTAATCTCTGCGTGTCTTGGAGACGTGTAAATCTGTTGGGTTTGTGTTGTTTCTGTGCTTTAGGTGTCTGGGATTAAGTCTCTTTACGAGGCCGAGCTCGCCGACGCTCGCCGCGTTCTGGACGAAACCGCTCGCGAACGAGCCAGACTTCAGATCGACCTTGGAAAAGCCAACTCTGATCTCGAGGAGGTCACCCGGAAGTAAGTGTTGCTCAGAAACGTCTCTTTTAACTGGAATCGAGTCCCTTATCCCCCTCTTTTAATCACCTGTGAGGTCAGAGGTCGTCTTTAAACTTAAGTTGGGCTTATTTAACTCGACTTAAAGCCGTTTCCATCTGTTCGTTCGGATAAACGAGCAGAAGACGGTCTCCTTTTCATCAGAAAGATCCGAACTTAGGAATCCTATCATTTAGGACAAAAGCTTTTACAAAAACAAAATGACATTTCTGAAGTGCATAATCTTAAAAGTGTGTATATAAATAAATATATATATATATATATATGTGCATAATCTTAAAAGTGTGTATATAAATATATATATATATATATATATATATATATATATATATATATATATATATATATATATATATATATATATATATATATATATCAAAAGTATTTGAAAGGGCTGGACAAAAAAAAATCTATTTTTCGAGTAATCGGGGTTTTTTTTTCTTCAAAATGTAGTCGATTCATCAACAACTATTATTATTATAACCTTTATTTTACCAGGAAAAGAAGCACATTGAGATTTAAGAATCTCTTTTTATAAGAGTGTATAGTATATTAGATTTACTATTTAAGTGTTTTAATTTAAACATGATTGTTTCTCATTCTTTCTCAGTTTTTACGTTAAGTACGGAGTTGAACTTTTCAGACCCGAGTGTGTCAGTAACGTGTAGCGCTGGGCAAAAAAACCCAGTTTAAAAAAACATATTAATCGATCGATCACCCAAAAGCCAGTATTAGTTCTCCTCTGTTCACAGGCCTGCATGTCACAGTTGATGCTGGGAGATTATATGTGTGTTTTATCTTAAACATAAAGTAACCTGATCGTGTTTGGTAAAGCCATGCCACTGTTCAGATTTATCCAATTATCAAATCTTGCATCAAAATCCTGTCTATTCATTGTATGCGTTTGAAATATAGAGTTGTGTTCTGTTTTACTGTACCTAAAATAAAGAGTTTAATATACAGGTTTGTGGCTCTTAATTTCTTTTTAATAATTAACCACTTGTAAACTGATGTTCTTTTTCTATAAATATAGGATTTGTATTAAATCTATATTCATTGAGTCGAATCGGAAATCGAATTGGATTGAATTAAATCGTTTTTGAATCGATACCCAGCCTTATTTGAAAGCCAACTATAAAAATCACATAATAATAGTCCTGTCTGAAAATGACGTTACATTCATTAATGATGGAAGATGAACAACATTCGTTCCTTCATGTGAAAATGTGTTTGGAATGACAATAAATGAACCTTGAAATTCACTTTGACGGCAAAACTGACAAATAATTACACTCCTGTGAAATAAAAGGATTCGGCTTTGCCTTTTCCACCAGGCTTATCAAAACTTCACTTAATGAACATTTTGTTTCTCCATTTTAATCTCAGTTATTACTATTATCAAAGTTTTTCCGTATTACTTCACATAGGCTGTTTGTTTGCGTGTCGTTGGTTGCTCGGTAACAGACCTGAGAGTTGATCGCCGAACTCGATGGATTGGTTTAAGATTTCCTAACTACAGATGCCATGAGATTTTGTTAGATGGGATAAGAATCCTAAATCAACATAAGATTTGCTTCTGTAATACAAATTTGTGAAAAATCCTAAATTAACTTGTCAGATCTTAACTTGAGGCGTAAGAAAGTTTGTGTAATACGACCCCAGGAGTCTGCGGTTGACGCATCATCTTAGGTTGATCTGGTTGCTAACGAGCGCATGTAAACAGGAAGTGTGTGTTGCTATGTGCCCGATTGCGGGCGGCTGCTCTAAACCACATGAGAGACTCACGTCATAATGCAAACCTACATTTGTCACGCAGATTTCACTGGTTTTATCTGCAGTTTATTCGGAGAATCTCAATAACGATATATGAAAGGTTAGCAAACCTATATGTGATTTATAAAGGATTTATAAAGCGATTAAATGTTTGATTCACTGAAATAGGCTTGTAGACACGATGTGAAACCCATTGTGATTTTTGGATTTTAATATTCGGTTCTTAATGTTTGTTTTAATTAAATTGTTAATAATATTAAGCTGCAAATTCAATTGTAAAAGATGAATCCGATTAATTACAAACGCATCATGATTGATGTTTAATCCGCTGACATCCATCCCATAAGATATTAGTAATGAAAATGTATACTAGGGCTGAGTAAAAAAACCAAAAATATTTTCAATCAATTGTTTTTTAAAAAGGCCACGAAGCTTTTTCTTAAATTTTTTTCCAGCCCTATTATATATTAGAGCTGCACGATTAATCGCATTTAAGCCTTACGCGATTTGTCAAAGGCTGCGACTATTTTATGCTCGCGTGTTTGACGCATGTTCAAATGCACGTTATAAGTGACTCAAACTCGCAGACGGAGCGGCGTTTACTGAGCCGTGCTTCACTGACACGCTGCACATACAAAATAATCTCAGCCTTTGCGATTTCAAACTCGGTTTAATTGCGATTACATGTAAATTGCGATTACTCGTGCAGCGCTACTATATACTGACTGAAACTGTTTTCCAGCTACAAGAAGAAGGATGGGGATCTGGCTTCGGCTCTGGCCCGGATTAAGGATCTGGAAGCGCAGTTCAACAAGAACGAGGCGTCTCTCAACACGGCGCTCCGCGAGAAAGGCTCGCTGTCTGCCGAACTGGCCGACCTGAAGGCTCAGCTAGCCAAAGTACGTCAAGCACATTTATTTATACAGCGCCTTTTACAACACAGTGTTTCAAAGCAGCTTTACAGAGATAAGAGGAAAATAATGCAACAAAGTGTGTTTCCAGAAGAAAATAGCGTCACAGTCCAGCTTAAGTAAGTTCAGTGATGGTTCATTTTTGTTTTAAAGTTATTAATTTAGTTCATTTATATATGTGACCCTGGATCACAAAACCAGTCATAAGTCGCACTGGTATATCTGTGGCAATAGCCAACACTACATCACATGGGTCAACATTATACATTTTTCTTTTATGCCAAAAATCATTAGGATATTAAGTAAAGATCATGTTCCATGAAGATATTTTGTAAATTTCCTACAGTAAATATATCAAGCGTTTATATTTGTGAGTGGATGCAGCACAATCGAGAACATAAATGCACAACTTTAAAGGGGATTTTCTCAATGTTTCGAATTTTTTGCACCCTCAGATTCCAGATGTTCAATAGTTGCATCTCGACCAAATATTGTCCTATCCTAACAAACCGTACATCAATGGAAAGCTTATTTATTCAGCTTTCAGATGACGTATACATTAGGGGTGGGGGAAAAAATCGATTCTTAGATGCATCGCGATGCGGACGTGGACAATTCTGAATCGATTCACAAATGTCAAAAATCGATTTTCACATTTTTTTTTTTTTTTAGATATATATTTATAATAACGTAATATTGACGGAACTCTGGAGTGCGGCAGTGCAGTGGCCGGACCGTCTGTGGCGTGCACATAACAGAGACGTAGGGCCCTATGATTTCCGTGATCACGGAATCGCGGACGGAGTGACGGAATTGGACAATTAACGCGCAATCTAGTGTTAACGCGGAATTTCGTGGAATTTTACATATTTGGATTGAAATTCTGTTTTTGTGTGGGAGAAGAATGTATGTCTGGTGAAAATGCAGACCGGGTACCGGATACTTTTCTCTTGGCCAATCGGAATCTTAGCACTTGCGTCAGAATCGCCATTGGATGAGACACCTGGCTACCACGCGAGTCTGATGGAAACTCATAACGTGAAGGAATCTTATGTGAAATTCGAGGTAAATCAAGCTTTTTTGGAGCAAAAACAAAAGCTAGTTGTTTGCTTGATTCAATTAACGTTAGCTACCGCTTTGTTATGCTGCGCTCGTGACAGGGCGCTGAAAGCCCTCAGTGCCGAGCAGTTCGCACGTGACTTTTATGCAGTGTTTCCCACACATAGACTAATTCGCGGCCACAAAATCAACTCCGGCCGCCACATATTGCGTTTCGTTAATTTTTTTAACGCTATTTAAAACACGCAGCGTATTCTTTCCGTTGTATTTCCTTTCCCTGCTCTCCCTCCGTCTCTCTATCACTCACGCGTCTCTCACATACACACACAAACACACACCGCGTCTGTCTATGAGGCGCCGGACTGGACAAAAGCGAAGCGAACTCCGCAAGCGACACTGGGCGAGAGAGAGACAGAGTGTGACTTTTATTTAAACTTTAAACTAATATAATTTATTTTACTGGACAGTTTAAAGCTCATAACCATATTTTGTTGTTACTTGAAGAGTGCAGTGTCATGTGGCATCATGCAGTATTTGTCCTGAAAAGGCTACTGAGTAAATGTCTGTAATTTAAGGTCATTCCTATTTTATTTGTATACATTTTAATCACTAACTTTAAAAGCACACTCTTTTTATGACTAAAATAACACTAAAGGGTAAAAAAAATGAATTCACAAAAATTAAAACGGGAAAAACGGAATTTGGGAAAAAATAAAACGGAATTTGGGAAAAAATAAAACGGATTTCATAGGGCCCTAGAGACGCGATGGCTGAGCACGAAATCCAAACACCCTCCGTGTTAAAAGCTGACGTGTTGAAATATTTTGGCTTCTATGAAGTTGAAGGTGGAAAGGAGCTGGACACTATTTGTAAGCTTTGTAGAATAAAACTAAAATATTTCGGAAACACGACAAATATAAGAAGCCATATGACACGTTTCCACCCAGAGGAGGAAAAACACTCGGCTGTACCGGTCGTTGTTATATTATTAATTTACTACAAGTATGCTGCTAGTTCAGGCACACATTTATTTTCCTGTTGGTTCTTTGCGATGTTAATAAAATATATTGTACGTTAATTCTTTATGGGTCATTAATTTGTACTTTTAAAGCAAAGTATTTATAGTCACACACAAAAAAAAAAAGATTTAGATAATCGATAATCGCTTTAGCATCGAATCGTGAGGTGCCTAGAGATTCCCACCCCTAGTATACATCTCAATTTAAAATAAATTGACCCATGTGACTGGTTTTGTGGTCCCGGGTCACAAATAAAGCCGCTCTGGAGAAAACAGTGATGTCTTCTCTAGCCCAGTTCTCATATAATGGTGTCGAAGCAGACAGATCAATAATATTGTTGAATATTAAATTAAATGTCCTCAACTAAGGCCCCGTCCACACTACTGCGTTTTCGTTTAAAAACGGAGAATTAAAACGAATACGATCTACGTCCACACCAGCGTTTTAGCTGCGTATTAGAATTGATCTCCGTCCACATTAAAACGACTGAAAACGCGGATCACGTGACCATTCACCAACACTGGGCATGCGCGTGCCGGAATTATCCCACCATGCTCTGGGTTAACCCCAAACCGACGCTCCATGTACGGTCAACGCCGCCGCTGCACACGGGAATTGTCACAGATCGCTCGAATAATAGCTTGACTCCGGCGCATGTAGGCAGTTATAGCGCTGTAAAATGCAGAATTCACTTGTACAACAGCTGCTAGCAAAGATATACGCCATGACTGATGACACCCAATCATAGAGCCGAGCGTGAGCCTCTACTACGTCATCATTTCTAAAGTCCTCCGTTTGGACCCGTCTACACTAAAACGCCCTCCGGAGATTCAAAACGAAAAACGGATCGGCAGCGTTTCTAAACTTCTCCGTTTTGGGTCTCCGTTTTTGCCGTTTTAGTGTGGACGGGAGGCGCAAACGTAGCAAAAGGTCTCCGTTTTTAAACGAAAACGCAGTAGTGTGGACGGGGCCTAAGCAAGCCAAAGTCTCTTCCTCCACACCTTAGTCTAACGCAGGTGTGTGTGTGTTGCAGGCTGAAGATGCTCACGGTGTGGCTAAGAAACAGCTGGAGAAGGAGACGCTGATGAGGGTGGACCTGGAGAACCGCTGCCAGAGTCTGTCCGAGGACCTGGAGTTCAGGAAGAGCATGTTTGAGGAGGTCAGTGTGTGCACTAGCGGTCCCCATCGCACACCTGCACAGGTGATGTGCGGGAATACACCCAACGAGCCGGCTCAGGAAAACAAGGAAATCCCACACACTGTCAATACTTGCAAACTTGCACGTGTGTGTGTGAAGCTCTAACAGCTGTGTGTGTGCAGGAGATGCGTGAGACGCGCAGGCGTCAAGAGAAGCGTGTGTGAAGCTAACAGCTGTGTGTGTGTGTGTGTGTGTGTGTGTGTGTGTGCAGGAGGTGCATGAGACGCGCAGGCGTCAGGAGAAGCGTGCGGTGGTGGTGTGTGTGTGTGTGTGTGTGTGTGTAAAGCTCTAACAGCTGTGTGTGTGTGCAGGAGGTGCATGAGACGCGCAGGCGTCAGAAGCGTGTGGTGGTGTGTGTGTGTGAAGCTCTAACAACTGTGTGTGTGCAGGAGGTGCGTGAGACGCGCAGGCGTCAGGAGAAGCGTGTGGTGGAGGTGTGTGTGTGAAGCTCTAACAGCTGTGTGTGTGTGCAGGAGGTGCGTGAGACGCGCAGGCGTCAGGAGAAGCGTGTGGTGGAGGTGTGTGTGTGAAGCTCTAACAGCTGTGTGTGTGTGTGCAGGAGGTGCGTGAGATGCGCCGGCGTCAGGAGAAGCGTGTGGTGGAGGTGTGTGTGTGAAGCTCTAACAGCTGTGTGTGTGTGTGCAGGAGGTGCGTGAGACGCGCCGGCGTCAGGAGAAGCGTGTGGTGGAGGTGTGTGTGTGAAGCTCTAACAGCTGTGTGTGTGTGTGCAGGAGGTGCGTGAGACGCGCCGGCGTCAGGAGAAGCGTGTGGTGGAGGTGTGTGTGTGAAGCTCTAACAGCTGTGTGTGTGTGTGTGTGCAGGAGGTGCGTGAGACGCGCCGGCGTCAGGAGAAGCGTGTGGTGGAGGTGTGTGTGTGTGTGAAGCTCTAACAGCTGTGTGTGTGTGCAGGAGGTGCGTGAGACGCGCCGGCGTCAGGAGAAGCGTGTGGTGGAGGTGTGTGTGTGAAGCTCTAACAGCTGTGTGTGTGTGTGCAGGAGGTGCGTGAGACGCGCCGGCGTCAGGAGAAGCGTGTGGTGGAGGTGTGTGTGTGAAGCTCTAACAGCTGTGTGTGTGTGTGTGTGCAGGAGGTGCGTGAGACGCGCCGGCGTCAGGAGAAGCGTGTGGTGGAGGTGTGTGTGTGTGTGAAGCTCTAACAGCTGTGTGTGTGTGCAGGAGGTGCGTGAGACGCGCCGGCGTCAGGAGAAGCGTGTGGTGGAGGTGTGTGTGTGAAGCTCTAACAGCTGTGTGTGTGTGTGCAGGAGGTGCGTGAGACGCGCCGGCGTCAGGAGAAGCGTGTGGTGGAGGTGTGTGTGTGTGTGAAGCTCTAACAGCTGTGTGTGTGTGCAGGAGGTGCGTGAGACGCGCCGGCGTCAGGAGAAGCGTGTGGTGGAGGTGTGTGTGTGAAGCTCTAACAACTGTGTGTGTGTGCAGGAGGTGCGTGAGACGCGCAGGCGTCAGGAGAAGCGTGTGGTGGAGGTGTGTGTGTGAAGCTCTAACAGCTGTGTGTGTGTGCAGGAGGTGCGTGAGACGCGCAGGCGTCAGAAGCGTGTGGTGGAGGTGTGTGTGTGAAGCTCTAACAGCTGTGTGTGTGCAGGAGGTGCGTGAGACGCGCAGGCGTCAGGAGAAGCGTGTGGTGGAGGTGTGTGTGTGTGTGTGAAGCTCTAACAGCTGTGTGTGTGTGCAGGAGGTGCGTGAGACGCGCCGGCGTCAGGAGAAGCGTGTGGTGGAGGTGTGTGTGTGAAGCTCTAACAACTGTGTGTGTGTGCAGGAGGTGCGTGAGACGCGCCGGCGTCAGGAGAAGCGTGTGGTGGAGGTGTGTGTGTGAAGCTCTAACAACTGTGTGTGTGTGCAGGAGGTGCGTGAGACGCGCAGGCGTCAGGAGAAGCGTGTGGTGGAGGTGTGTGTGTGTGTGTGAAGCTCTAACAGCTGTGTGTGTGTGCAGGAGGTGCGTGAGACGCGCAGGCGTCAGGAGAAGCGTGTGGTGGAGGTGTGTGTGTGAAGCTCTAACAGCTGTGTGTGTGTGTGCAGGAGGTGCGTGAGATGCGCCGGCGTCAGGAGAAGCGTGTGGTGGAGGTGTGTGTGTGAAGCTCTAACAGCTGTGTGTGTGTGCAGGAGGTGCGTGAGACGCGCAGGCGTCAGGAGAAGCGTGTGGTGGAGGTGGACTCAGGCATGCAGCAGGACTACGAGTTCAAGCTGACGCAGGCGCTGCAGGATCTGCGCAGGCAACATGAGCAGCAGGTGCAGATTTACAAGGAGGAGCTCCAGCACACCTTCATGGCCAAGGTCAGAAACACCACATCACTGGCTTTACATGTGACCCTGGACCACAAAACCAAAATACATGCATACAAACACACACACATATATATATATATATATATTTTTTTTTTTTATTATTGGTTTATTTATTTTTCTCTATCTTATTAATGGTATTTTTGCTTTGTGGGATGAGAAACTAGGGGAAAATCATTTCACTACACACACACATATATATATGTATGTATCTGTAACAAAGAACCTTGAACCCAGTGCCCCCCATAGCTTGTGGAGACGTGGTCTGCCCTCTGACTGAATGCTCTCTCTGCAGCTGGATAATGCCAAGGTGTCGTCGGACATGAACGATAAAGCGGTTCTCGCCGCGCGCGAGGAGCTTCAGGAGGCCCATGTGCGCATCGAGAGCCTGAGCTATCAGCTCAGCGCCCTGCAGAAACAGGTACCTACACACAGGCTTTTTTAGATTATTTTAATGGATATGTATAATATAATTAGTGGTGTATATATAAAAATATCAGCCACCCTGCTCTAAGATATCGGCCATCAAAAAAACCAATATCGGTCAACCACTAAATATAATATTATAATTTATATTTTTAGAAGTCATTGCTCTTATTTTTATATTATTATTTATATAAGATTTTTATTATTGCTCGCATTTATATTTATCTAATCTGCGTTTTATAACTTTTTAATTAATTTAATACATTTTTTATTGAATTTAATTAATGTTAATTATTATTATAATAATAATAATAATAATGACAATTATTATTTAAAAATTGTATATTATTATATAATAGTATTATATTGCTGCTAAAATTGCTCACTAACCCTTGTTACTGTACTTGCATAAGTTTACTGTAAAAATACAGTAGCAACATTAAGTTTACCAGAAAAAAATGTATATATTCATTTAAGAAATGTATATATAATTGCTAAAATCAGTTTTTTACCTTTGTAATACTGACGACCATCTTAACGCAGGTGGTAATAAAGTACCGTAAGTCATGTGATGAATCAAAGTTCATCAAGTAGCTTTTCAGAGGTAAATACTAAGATATAGTATCATTGTGACAGATGGTAATAAAAAAATGCAATAACATTCATTTAACAACATATGTAACATAAAACCCTAAGGGTCACAACTGATAACAAAAACTAATTTAGATAAAGACATCATATTCTGTGGGTGTCAAATTACGGTTCACGTCCAAAAACTGCACAAGTGTTTCACTGTAAAAGCACATTATGATTCCATTATATTTATTATTTTTCCACCTTGAATAGTATAAGGGAGCTTGCCGTCAATCAATTAATATATTTTTAATGTTGTGTTTTTTGCCATTAGAATATATTTAGTAATTTCCGAAAGCATCTACATTAGGGATGTGCGATATATCGGCCACCAATATATGTTCATTTTTAATGTCATCATTGTCGGCCCGATATATTAAACATATTAAAGCCGATAAATAAAGTATTATTTCCTTCAACTGAGACACTTCAGATACTCACTGTTCAACATGATGGTTTTGAATTGCTTGAAATATGATTGGAATCAAAAAAAAAAAAAAAAAAATACAATTAAGTGCAAATCTTTTATATCGGCTACATAAAATTATAATTGTGTGTTTGAGACGTGGATTTTAAAGGTGAGACTTTTGTTTTTGTAATCAGGCTCTTAAAAATTATATTAAAATTTGAATTTAGATTTATCGGCCAATATATCCGTTAACGGCTTTAAAATATAAGGAATTATCAGTATCGGCCAAAATGTTCATTTCCGTGCATCCCAAATCTACATTGCCGTTGGTTGATAGGATTTGTCCAATTTTATTTCCATGAAAACCCAAAAAACTGGCCTTTTAAGTAGAAATGTTTGTTCTGTTTGAGTCTTTGTGTAGTATTAGAAGATTGAAATAAGATTGGAATTGCGGTTAAATGCAACGTGGAGCGCAAGTCTGTCATATAGGCGACAAAATTATATTGAGAACATTATAATTGTGTGTTTGGGACGTGGATTTTAATGGTGAGGCTTTTGTTTTTATAATCAGGCTCTCAAAAATTATTTAAAAAATTTGGATTTAGATTTATCGGCCAATATATCGGTTATCGGCTTTCAAATATAAAGAATTATTGGCTTTCAAATATAAAGAATTATCGGTTATCGGCTTTCAAATATAAAGAATTATCGGTTATCGGCTTTCAAATATAAAGAACTATCGGTTATCGGCTTTCAAATATAAGGAATTATCGGTTATCAGCTTTCAAATATAAGGAGTTATCGGCTTTCAAATATAAAGAACTATCGGTTATCATGTTTCAAATATAAGGAATTATCGGTTATCGGCTTTCAAATATAAAGAACTATCGGTTATCAGGTTTCAAATATAAGGAATTATCGGTTATCAGCTTTCAAATATAAAGAACTATTGGTTATCAGGTTTCAAATATAAGGAATTATCGGTTATAGGCTTTCAAATATAAAGAACTATCGGTTATCGGCTTTCAAATCTAAGGAGTTATCGGCTTTCAAATATAAGGAATTATCGGTTATCAGCTTTCAAATATAAGGAATTATCGGTATCGGCCAAATTCTTTATATCCGTGCATCCCTATCTAAATTGCCGTATCTATGTTGATTGGTAGGATTTAGCCAATTTTATTTCCATGATAACCCAAAAACGTTTGAAACGTTTGTTCTCCGAGTCCTTGTGTAGTATTAGAATAAAACGTCTTGTTGTTCAACCTCAGAGATGTTATCCGTCATTCACAACGTGTCCCCCCGCAGGCGTCAACCGCCGAGGAGCGCATCCGCGAGCTGGAGGACATGCTGTCCAGCGACAGGGACAAGTACCGGCGACAGCTGGACGCCAAGGAGCGCGAGATGGCCGAGATGAGGGAGATGATGCAGCAGCAGCTCAACGAGTACCAGGAGCTGCTGGACGTCAAGCTGGCCCTGGACATGGAGATCAACGCCTATCGGAAACTGCTGGAGGGCGAGGAGGACAGGTGAGCGAACACACTCCAACAACCGATAATCATCGAAGAATGACAGGAATGCTAACCTAGACTGCATTTTCAGGGCCTTTAGGTGTTTGAATTTGCTTACTAGGCCTTGAAATGCATCCAAACACACCTGTGGCCAAAAATGCCGTCAATTGAGGAAGCGCTTTAGGCGTCAGGCACATTAGAGTGCGTTTCTTATCCTATTTTAGACTTGAAAACGTGAAGGATTAGTTTAAATCATCAGGACATTTTAATTCTAAAGTACTCACCCCCACGTCATCCACGACATTCATGTCTGTCTGTCTTCAGTAGAAAAGAAATGAAGGTTTTTGAGGAAAACATTCCAGGATTTTTCGAATCACTCAAACCTATAATCATCGAAAGATGACAGGAATGCCAACCTAGACAGCATTTTCAGGGCCTTTTAGCTTATGGTTTGCTTACTACAGGGAGCGTAGCATACAAGGTGCTTAAAGTACTTGACTTTTTGAAACTTAAAGCCCATCTTTCAAGTTGAAGATCCCTGTGAATAGATGTGTAGATAAATGGTGTAGGAACTCGATTTGCGTGAAGAAATTAATCATAAATGTGCATTAAAAAAGTTTTTTAAAAGAAATTGTGAGTAAAATTACTTCCGCTGTCAAAAACGCTCTGATCCGACGTGACGCAACGGCCGGTAAATCTCATCTCTTCGTAATGGAGTCAGACAGTTGAAGAGGTTGCAGTAGTTCATGTCAACTCTTCCGATGGGCTATTGCCGTATAATTATGAGCCACCTAGGCGAGAGAGGGGTCAGGCAGAGTTAAGGGGAAGGGTAAATGGACAGAGAAGAGAGATAGAGTTGTGGTGTGAGGAGAATTGGGCAGGTGTCTTGGTGAGTGACCACAGGCTATAGCTAGCTAATTGTGGCTAACGTTGTCTCCATGTTTATCACATTGCAGTATCTTTAATAAATCATATTTAGCAATATTGCTGTCGACTTTGTTGTTTTTCAAGCATCCATGTATATTGTCACCATCTATGCTAGCAACATGCGTCTTAAAATGTTTAATTTAGATCCCAGATTTTCCGAACTTAGCCGGCTGTCATACTACTCCCATAGTATTTCCGACGGACATTATGTAAATGAGCTCGCATGTACTGCGGAGTATGTGTATGAAAGCAGTTAGTGTTCCGGTTAGGACGGGAATATGCTGTTCATGTAAATATAGTCATTGTTACAAGGATCTTTTATTGTCAAGTGGACTGGGTGTAAGGCATGCAGATAAATGCCATTACCACCCGATCCCGCCCGCCGAATTTCTGACCATTACCACCCGTTCCCGCCCGCCGAATTTCTGACCATTACCACCCGTTCCCGCCGAATTTCTGACCATTACCGCCCGTTCCCATCCGGTGTGAAGTGTTTTTCACATACCACCGTGTGTCTTGTCACCGAGGAGGCAGAGAAATTGCTTCTCTTTGCCTGGACGAAACGTATCCAAGCACAGAAATCTTTGTTTTTCTTGTTTGGAAATCGGTGGACCCGATGACCAGACAAGTTGGAGTGGTTGCATCCAAAACAAACACAAGAATTCACCATTGTGACAATTCAAACCAACTCAACTAACATTATAACGATAACTACAAGCTCTATTTTCTGTACCACCTCTCAGACTACGTAAACCCACACTGAGAACCAGGGCAGCAACGCCTATTTGTTTGCCTGTCGTTGCGTCATATGACGCGTTCTCTGGAAAAGGGCGGTTTTTTGAGCCTAGCTTAGAATAGGTACACTTTTTCCTGAATTTCTGCCTGTGGGTGTTGTAAAACATATGTATTCATATGTATGTCTTTTTAAATTGACATTTTCATACAAGATTCTGTATAAATTAAGTTATACAATTAAATTGAAAGATGGCCTTTAAGTCCTGGAAAAGCTTTGAAAACAGACATTTATGAAGAGGTACTTGTAAAGTGCTTGAATTATCGTAACAAGATATATATGAAATCAGTGTTTGAATCGTGGAATTTCATTGTACAGTTTCTGTACGAACCCTGTTCAAAAATACTAGGCAAGAAGGCATTTTGAAACGTGACTGAGATGTCTTGCTAGGCAGACAAGCTTGTGCTTCCCGAAAACGCTGTCAAAGTAGGAAGCTCACTCGGTTTTGTGACTCATTCATGCATCTAGTTTGATAATGCACACAAACTGGCTGTTCGTGAGTGTTTTGCACTGGTTTCTCGCTGCTGATGACATTCTGGCAGCTGATTATTATCCTCTTTCATCTGCGGCCCGAACATGTTCAGGAACGCTCCACTTCACATTTTTTCGCTACATACTTGACATACTTGAGGTTCTGGAATGAGTAAGGTAGGTTGTAAAATGTCACGCCGGAATGATAATTGTGTTTTCCGCTCGTGCGTGAGCGATACGATAGAGCGAGTTGTCAAAAAATATGTCCGAGAGCTCATTTAGCATGAAGACGAGGAGCCCAGAAGGCAGCTAGACCCTCTTGAAGATTGAGGCGAGTTAAGGATAGTCTGCCGTTGAGATATTTGGAGGACAGATGATAGGAAGGAAAGGTAAGCGCAGTCACATAAACATTGTGTTTTCATGGTGCGGTTGCCCATTCATCGTTCTTATGGTCCGTTTGCACCAAGAACAATAACTAATATAGTTTTAATAATTGTGTGAGGGTGAGAAACTCCACACTACAACTATAATGAAAACACTGATGAATGATATTGTTGGAATCCCTTTCAAAACTATTTTTTTCCAGCTGATTAATGACAAATACCATTAACAACCAATCATATTCCATCTAACTTTAAAGAGGACCTTTTACGCCCTTTTACAAAGTCTTGATTCTTCAAGAACATTTTTTTCTGAGTGAATGTTGATTATATTCCTCATATTCTCCATTGTTGCGGCTCCTCTCTTCCCAGTCTGTCAGTAACGCTCTGTTCACTTTCTGTCTCTATGAAGCCCCTCCTTCTGAAAAGCACACTGTGCTCTGATTGGTCGGCTGGATCAGTGTGTTGTGATTGGTTGAGCGCTTCGAGTATGTTTGGGAAATGTCCCGCCCCTTCCCATAAACGCCAGTTTAACACACTACTAACTAACCCAACCAGGCCCCGCCCCTTTATTCTGCGTATTAATTATTATAATGAGGAATATTGTGACGTGTTCGTTCCCGGAAGAAACTCAAGACTACAATGGAGGCGTTTCAGGAGTTCAGAAACACTGACACTGATATAGAGAAGAACTCAATATAAAGTAGCATTTAATCAGGGTTTCGTACAAGGTGCTTGAATTAGACTTTTTGAAATTTAAGTTCTGGAAAACCCTTGGGAAAAAAAGCCAAATTCATGAAGAGGTCATTGAAAAGGGCTTGAATCAACGAAAGACAATATATATGAAATTAGTGTTTCATTTTTTCGATGAGACAATATTTTCATGCAAAATTAACGCTGCAGCCCGTCTGATAAAGACATTTCGCATGACTATGAGCGTGATATTGCTCATATTAATATCCAAGTATATGATCCATCTTTCATTCTTCAGGACAATCAAATATTAATCGGGGAAAAATCAGTTTGAAAGAGGAAAGCGATATCTTTGTCAGTTTCCTTTCAATGGTTAAAGTTTCCAGTCATTGCATCTGCTTGCATCTCTTTATTTGTACCATTTTGTTTTATTAGTGTGTATATATATATTTTTGATCTATTTACCTTTTTTCGAATTTAAAGATATTGTTTTGATAAGTGAGATCTCTGATTGTACCCAAAAAAGTTGTCCTTGAAAGTCCTGAAATTTCATTTTAAAGTATCTGTAGGCAACAAAACGACAGCTCATGCTTACTATAATAATAAACAGAGTATCATCATCGTTGTTGGTGTGAACGGGCCTCACTTTTTGTTATCATACACGTGTTCCTGTTGATTTGGGATGCGTAATCCGCCTGTGTGTCCCGTCTCCTCTAGGCTGAAGCTGTCTCCCAGCCCGTCCTCCCGGGTCACGGTGACCCGCACCTCAGCCAGCAGCACTTCTGCGTCTTCACGAAGCTCTCGCGCTAAGAGAAAGCGTGTGGAGCTCGAGGAAGAGTCCAGCGCTGGCCCGAAGGTCCAGGTCAGCCAGGAGGCCGAAGCCACGGGGAGCGTCAGTGTCGAGGACATCGACCTGGAGGGGAAATCCGTGACCCTCAGGAACAACTCGGACAAGGTACTGTGAATTTGGGGAAAAAATGCCGTCACTTCACGTTTAAAATAAGTTGTATTTTGGATACCTTATATCTGTAATTTGAGTTTTAACAAAAATAAAGTTATAGAATTTCACATTTATTATGAAAAATACACAAGTGCTTTTTGCCATTTTTAAATGAAATATATATTTTCCAAATCAAAGCCATGAATCTAAGATGAGTAGATCTTTCAGTCAGATTTTGTTAGTGTGCAGTACCAAACACTTCCACTAGATGAAATTCGTTTCCCAATTATTTTCAAAGTGCTCATTTTGAACCTATACAATACGTGGGACTGTTTTTTTCCTTCGTTTTTTTTTTCTCATGAACATTTAATAGAAAAGGTTTTGGCACTTGCTAACCAAGTAAAAAAAATAAGTTACATTTTTCTGTCAAAAATGACCGAAGAGCACCAGAGGGTTAAAGGTGCCCTATGTAAAAATTGAGGTAAAATTATCCAAAAAATAAGCTACACGCATCAAAAGAATGAGAAGAAATAAGTGCAATGTCATTAAAAAATTGACAAGTTATAGTGCTGCCGAGATATAAACCTAAATTAGCATGCTAAATTACTAGCGCCGGCCCGACTGGTGTCGTAATACCAGTTTCGGCCATGGGAGGCGGTATGCGGGCAACATACATAACCACCAGCCCAACTGCAGTACACGAATAACTCGCACGGCTTGTGGGCGTACTTAAACCCTGCTTAAACCTGATGTCAATCGCGTCTATATGAGACCGGCCTTTATAATTTAGTGTTGAGATGTTGTTCATTGAGTCTCTAATCTCTAAAAATCTCCAAATGAACTGCGGTCTTACTATCGTGTCAATTCATTTGATTAGTATGCTCGAGGGAGAGAGAGAGCAGGAGGACTGCGCTCGTGTTGTTTGAAGACGTGAGAGTGCGCGCGCGCGGCCGGGGCGCTCTCTCTCTCTCTCTGCTCGTTATAAGCCCTGTCAAGCGCAGCAGTCATTATATTCTACATCACTCACCGATCAAAATGGGCTTTGGCGGGACAAAGCGGACGATTTGACGGTTTTAGAAGATTAACAACCCGAAACTAAAAAACAGACTAGAGTAGGCCAACTTTCTGGAGGTATACTGCCCCCATTTGGTATGGAATATGTGGAGTATGTATTTATTTTTTGGCAGACATTCCACATGGCACCTTTAAGTGTTTATTTTATTGCACTTTATCTATTTGTGTCTGTAGGTTTCAATTACCACCACTATTTTTAAAGGCTCTTTTCTTCAAAATGAGTTTTGTTCTCCACTTCAGCAGCTCTTAAATACACCAAACTTTACAGTTTTATTCCTGTTTATATTCGGAAGGTTTTTACTGATTTTGGGTTTGTTCATATATCATTAGCATGGTTTTATGCAAACTTTTATTCCTAAAAACATGGTAAAAAAAACCCCCCACAAATTTCTCTGTCGACATTATTTTTTGATTTATGGAGTGATAAAAAGACAAATCCAAAAACTCCTTTCATTGAAACAAGAAGTTTGAATCTGGCTTTATCCGGCGTTTAGATTTCTCAAAAGACGATTCCTCATTTGCATATTTAAACAACATCTCAGAAAACTTGTTATACAAAACCTGTACTTTTTTCACATTAATTATTAATCGTGTTCACCTGTGGTGTCTTGCTTAAATAAAATAACTTGTATTTCATTATTTTATCCCAAATTTAGGATCAATCTCTGGGAAGCTGGCGACTAAAGAGACAAATTGGTGATGAAGAGGAAATCACCTACAAATTCAGCCCTAAGTTTGTCCTGAAGGCCGGTCAGACGGTAACGGTAAGCGAATTGGACCGCATCTCATTTTTGCTCCAACTCGGGATGTTTTCTAGTTGTTTAACTGTTGGTTCTGTGAAAGGTGTGGAGCGCCAGCGCCGGCGTGTCCCATAGTCCTCCTTCAGACCTGCTGTGGAAGAGCCAGAGCTCTTGGGGAACCGGAGAGATGATCCTCACCTCATTGGTCAACTCGAGCGGAGAGGTATGAGGAACACCAGCCTGGTTCGGCCTTTGCTGTTTTTGTGTGCGAATGCGATAACCAAACTTGAACTTTTATTTGCAGGAAGTGGCGAAGCGAACCGTCACGAAAAGCGTGCTGGAAATGGAGAACGGTGATGATGAGGATGAAGACTTTGGAGATGAAGATCTTTTCCATCAGCAGGTAATAGTCAGAAACTGTAAACAGAAGGAAGTTTTTTTTTAAACTTTAGGCAAAATAGTTAAAATAAAGTTTGCCTATCTTGAGTACCATATTTGATACATCAGGCTTTTATGGCTTATGTAGTATGATATAGTGAGAATATGGAGGAAAGAAAACACTCAGATTTATTCAGAGACTCAAACTGAGCAAAAAACATGCGAAAACATTTTTAATGCAAATCAATGAGAACAGTATAGCAGATACTTGCATATCAATATCTGCCAATAATATGTCTTGGTAAGATGATATTTAAATGCTTAGTTTGATCACAGCTCTGTTTGTAGTCAATAATATCCCTTAAAACTCATCTTTGATCACCAAAATGACATCCTTTTTCCTTAATAAATTCCTTAAAATAGCTTGAATGTAACTCGACACCCTCGCCTCATTTAGTATGCGCTGTTCTATGAATATGCAAATGAGCCCCGCCTCCACTCACTCCCTCAGCTCAGAGATCCACTGGTTGACGATCACACGTTGATCTGATTGGTTACAAGGTCGTTTGTGACGTCAGAAACACCAGCGATTTCAAACCGTGTTTTTAAGACTGTCTTTGGTTCACTGCAGTTTTAAGGAGAAAATACTTTATGAATTTACACACGGTTTGTCTTAAAGCATGTTAAAAACACCATATAGACACATAAACAACATTTAATAGCTGGATTTTCACCACAGGGGGACTTTAAACCATTTAATGCAATGCAATGATGATTGAGAGATGAACAAATAAACCTTCCTTAAAAGCCTGATGATCATATTTGATACTCATGATTTTACAAAAACATTATATATGATCTAATAAAAAGGGAAGCTGCTTCAGTCCAGCTGAAGTATTACTAACAATATCAAAGTTATTACATTCACTTGATAATCAGATTTGACAGCATAAAGACACGTGAAGCACTAGCTAAAGGAGGACGTTTGTACAGTTACACTAAAAGACTTAGTTTATAAGAGTCTGAACCACCAATCAGCAGTAGATTGTGTTTTTCAGCAAGTTTTGATCATTTATAGGCCATAGAAATTAGTTTCAAATATGATACGGTAGATTTAATGTAATAACCTTTGCTGAATTTGCTCTTATTTTCAGGGCGATCCAAAACCCCGATCCAGAGAATGTGCCGTCATGTGATGGAGCACCTTTAGTATTTTCCTTCCCACGATTCAGTCTTTTTTGTAGAGCCACTACTTTTTGTATTCTTCGATCATGAGTTCATAACACCCCCCTCCCTCGATCCTTTATTTCTACGGACCTCATTTGTAAAGCCAGTCAATCTTGAGCAATATGCCACGGCTCATAAACGAATAGTCTTGATCAACGAGTCCAACGACCTGAAATTAGAAAGTATTAGTGTAAGCCGGTGACTAAGGAATCTGCATATTCATGTCTATGAATCATGTGTTCTCGTCACTTATGAATGGGGTTATGATTATGACGGTGAGCTCATGTTCTGTAGTGCACTATAGCTCGTAACTGACAGCTGTCAATCTTGTGTTTTTTTGCTTCGCCAACCAGACGAACAGGGTGGAAACTAAATCAAATGACTTCGTTGACTTCTAAATGCTTACTCCCACCATTTATCCTCATTTTATCTTATTGTTATTTGTTTTGATTCGTGCTTTACATAGTATTATGTATGTTTAAATCAGTGATTAAGACATTTTTCAAGCCTATAATCTAGTCAGAGCGAGTGTTATATAAAATGTATGTTCACAACAACAACAACATGTTCAAAACATCTTTGCAGTTCATTTGAATGTAGTGTTGAATTGATCATGTGATCAATGTTTTAAATTGACTTTAATCAACATGCTTACAACAAAACGCAGATTTACCAAAGAAATGGACGACGAATGAAACCAATTTGACTTGGTCAACTTTGCCTTGTTTCTCGCTTGCTTTGCTCAACTTCTCGAGACACTCCAGATGAACCGAAACCCATAGTATAGTTGTCGAGTCCAGAGAGTAAATCTGCATCCACCCTGTCGGTTCTGTCGCGTTTTTAAGTTTTAAAACTTGTTTTAATTCAAATGTTTCTCGGACAATTATGCATGCAGCGAATATTTTTATATGAAAATCTCAACGAACGGATCGGAGTTGTTAGGGTGATGCGGACAGCAGTTTGATTTTTAGCTATAATCGTATATTTTTGATAGGTTTGTCCTCAGGATTTTTAAAACCCTAGTGCACAAGGTATCTTTACATGCATTTAAAATATTTAGATTAATTGTCTTACTTGTGAATATATTCAGTGCAGTGTGTAAAAAAAAAAAAAAATTTGACTTGGGAAACATTTTTACGATTTCTTTCTAAGGTTATTTTAATGGGGGTATTGTAATCTTCGTGTTTACTTTCTAGGGTTCTTCTAAAGGTTCTGTGAGAACGAATTGCCTCAATTGGGACACAGATTTGTGTCAAAATTAAGTGAAATTGAGCTCAAGTAAAGTTGTATTTGTGTACATTTGGTACTTGGCCTCTGAGCTAATAAAATCGATCTTTTTGTTTGGTTTTTTTACTTCATGTGACGTGAATGGAAACTGTTTTCTGGCCAAACACTCCACATCTGTGAATTTTAAATTAGCTTCTGTTAGTTACAAACACTGTTTTCATGAGGAAAGTCATTTCCTTGTTCTTTTCAGGTTTTATTAGACAGGGCTGTGACTAATGTAGCGGATACAATGTGCTTTGGTGTATTTGATACGAAATTGTCAATCTGTCATTGTAACGATCTACTGTAAAGTAAAAGAAATTGCTATTTGAACTGCCATCAAAGTACAGAAATGTGAGTAGAAATTGAGCCATAAATTGTGAAATATGAATCAAATTTGTTACGGGGTGAAATTCTTCACTGTACGAGGACTTTTGAAGGGCTATAAGAGGAAGGCGCATGCCAAAAGTGTCTCATTAATTGTGATTTTGATTTCTTTTTTTGTATGCATTATTCAATAAATGTTTTACATATTACATTGTGCCATTGTGGGTCTGTTAATGAATACAAATCCTGGGTCTGTTTTAGAGATGCACTGATGTATCGGCCAATAATCGGTATCAGACGATTATTTTCGCCGTTTAAAAACAGCCGATGAGGGCCGATTATATCCCGTCAATCAAGAGTGCGGAAAAATGTGTCCGACTGTAACTGACACTGTGTGTGAGGAAAGTCTCTCGTGTTGAATTTAGGGCAAGTTAACACGACAATAACGCTTTAAAACAGTTATAAAATAGCGAATTTAATGCAGGCTTTATTTGACCCTCTGGATCACCCGTAGTTCAAGCCAGGGTTGCCAGATCTGCAGTTTTCCCACATCAGACATTATTGTAGCGTCTCCTGTCCAATAATCACAAAGAGCTTGTGCTCTGTTACTTCTGATAAGAAACCAAGTGTCAGCTTTTAAATTATGTTCATTTTATCACAAAATTCAAACAATATGGCGTTTAGACGCTCTTAAATGTGGCGTTAGATCGCTGAAGCGCTTCAGTTCAACAGTCTTTTCTTCCAATTTAATACAAGCTATATTTAGAAAAACATGAGTGAATATCAGAAGGTGTGTTGAATGATACAGTAAAACTTACTGAAATCTGTATCATGTCTCATGTAATCGTTCAATCTGTGTTTCAACCGCGGAAAGACGTCAATAAAACAGCTTGAGAACAATATCACTTAATGTTGCGTTTCCCTCAGGAGAGTTATCCAGTGTTCAGTTCGTTAGTTCGCTATAAAACACCACAGAAGAGCTTATTAACTGGTAATTATATATGTATGTCTGAATAAATTTGCCATGAAGAAGTGTTTGAGTTGCATACAAACATTTCAGCTTTAATTTGAGTGTAAATATTATATCTGGAAATACATAGCAGTTGAATATAATAGCTCTGTTGTTAATTTTAACCTTTTTTTTTTTTCTTAAGAAAAATAAAACTATCGGACTATATTCTGAATAATCGGTAGCGGTGGAGAGATTTAGTATCGGTGTGTCTCTAGTCTGTCAAATTTGCTCTGAAGTAAAAAGTTTTTTTTTTTTCACAGGTTTTTGAAGTTGGACTCATTAGCAGGGGTTAAAGTGGGCTGGAACTGGGTTCCGGTGTTGTGCCGAATTTCGAATTTTTAGGATTAGTTGTGGGGGAGGATTAGGATTAGGGGCGGGGTTGGAATTAGGCAATCAGGTACTGACTTCAACGAGGGGGGTAATAATTTGGCAGGGGGTCGAAATTCGGCACAACACCGGCACCTCAGATAAATAAATACATTAATTAATCTCGACGAATCTTGCTGGCCCGAGACGGGCCGACCGACCGACCAACCTCCCTTCCTCCCCGCTGAACGCGAGCGATTACAAATAAGTGAAATGCACTCACGGTGGTTGAGCGCGGTAAAGTTAGTTTTATGGTGTGTTCACACCGAACGCGAATAGAGCGTCAAATACGCGTCTATCGCGTCTAGTTAGACGCTTGAACATTCGCTCGAGTTCAAATTTTTCAACTTGCGCGGAAGACATTCGCGGCAAACGCGCGGCCGATTCGCGTCATTCGCAACGCCCGGGGCGAATGATGCGTCTATTCGCGTCTTTGCATTGACTTTGTATGTAATCTACTCGTGCAAATAATTAAATTCGCGTTCGGTGTGAACACACCATAAGAGAACGTCTGCCAATTCCACCTCTGCGTTAAACGTAGCCTATAATTTGTATTATTTAAAATTACCTTTCAAATTCCAAGGCTTGTAGAAGGTTCTGGCAATACTGACCTGGTAGCCGAGTAAATTAACTTGTTTAAGACAATGATTCATAAAACATATAAATATCAAGCCTATGTTTACTTTCTTCACTGAGACGAAAATGAAAAGACTATCAGTCAAAGTTCAGCTGTAGGAGGGGAAGAAATAGGCCAGGATAAGGAGACTGCAGAGAAAAAGAAAGATGTAGATGAGGAGAGAGAAGGTATTGACAAAATAATCTAATGCCCACTCACTGACATGGCTTTAAAGCTCACTGACATGGTTTTAAAGCTATATATTATCCATTTTTTGGGCCTTCAAAAGTCTTAAATTGCACATATAGCAGGAAGCATGCCCCCGAACCCCCCTAAATACCTCACATTTTAATGCACATGTCTGTGGGTGGGGCTGTGGATGATAATTATACCAAAAAGTATTGCTATACCACGATACTCAATATGTTGTCCCACGGTGAGACATTTTCCCCTGTTGCACCTACACAAAATTTGAGGGTTCCCCCACCTGCCAAATCCCACTTTAACCACTGCTCATTAGGTTAAACGAAACAGGACTTTGCTTAATGTCGTGCCGGTGACTTGTTTGGTTTGTACTTTCATTAAATAACTGTAACACCACTCCAGGAAAGTTTTCAAATCAGTATTTGGAGATAAAACTCAGTGTTATAATGTCTGGCTGATATAGCACGATCTACAGGATACCTGTGACGTTCAACCTAAGCCTGATGAATTATTCAGCTGTGTATACATATGAAAGAGTCAGATGTTGCAGATATGAATAATTCAACGAATTGTCATGTTCGTTTGAAATGCAGATGCACCAAAAGCCACTGGAATGCTGTTAAACTAAGGCATTGCAATATTGTACCAGAAACAGCGTTGCATACAGTACTTATGTATCGATCACTTATCCATCACTAATATATTATGCATGCATGTCTTTTGAACTCATTACCCACAACCCATTTCTTCAGAAATTACATTCCTCTGAAAACACTTTCAAAAGAAATTTTGAACACTGAATCAATTCTAAAGCAAACCTTGTGTGCACCTTAAAAACGTTGGGTTACACATTGGGTCACCATGTTGGGTTGTTTTCCAAAAAATGTTGGGTAATTTCTAGTAATAACCCGGCTGTTGGGTTACACATGTTGTATGTACACAATTATTTATTATTTGCATTAAATTCTAGACCCCCCCCCCAATATTTAGGTTGTAATTTTAAAATATATTTAGTTGACATATTTATTGTTTTATACAAAATGAACAATCTGTATTTGAAAAAGTGTATTTTACTTATTAAAATAATGTGATAAATAGTTAACCTAACTGTTGAGTTACTTTTAACCCAATGCATTGGGTTAAAATAACCCACAAGTTGTGGAAGGTGCTATACCACCCCATAGCTGGGTTACTCCTTGGCTTATTTTTAACCCAACATTATTAAGTGCTTTTAAATAGCTCCTTTTTTAAAAAAAAATGTTGTATTTCACCTTGTCAGGAAGCTGGCATTTAAAACACCAAACCCCTTTCACCACTAGAGTGCGCCGTGACCCTAAAGTACAGCGTTTGCATCGGTTGATCTCTCTATTGATGATTTTTTTACTCGTTCTGTTGACCTCTATATATTTGGGGCTGTTTTCTTCAACGCCTCTGAAAACTGTGATATTATGTTCTTTGAACAGCCAGCGATAGAAAGGATCTATCAACAGCTGGTCTTGGCTGTTCCAGAGGAAAGGGTTTCGGAGTGTGTTTGTACCAGACCGCCCACACACACACACACACTCCTCAATCTCTGCTCTTCCCTCTGTCTCTCTCAGTCATTAGTGCGCCTCTGCCTGCAGCAGAAACCCCATCGTCTAGTCCCTCTTTCTCTCGCTCTCTTTCTTCCGCCCACCCACCCACCCCCTTCACACAAACACTGGCCGTCTCCCACACACCCATGATTTC